AGGATATAGATTACAATGAGATATCTAATGATTTACTGGAGCTCTTCGGTGATTCAAGGGTGATTTCATGGGATGTAACTAACATCAACTAACTTAATGGGATAGAACTACTGGGAACAAAATATCAGGTCACGTTCCAGGAGAAATACCGGACATCATGAAGAACCATTTAACCATCAGCTGGTAAATATGTGGAAACATATCTTATAACTAAAACAATGTCAATTCATCATAGATATTATATGATATCGTCATGGGTATGTATACATATATGTATATATATATATATATGTATATATGTATATATATATATATGTATATGTTATCAATATGTACATATATATATAGATAGATATAGATGTACATACATATATATATATATACATATGTCTATATATGGCCCAGCGTTTTGTGGTCCCCCATATGTATATGTAAGGTTTATAACTATAATATATATATATGCGTGTGTATACGTATGTAGTATGTATATGTGCAAATGTATACAGTATGTATATGTACGTGTCTATGCGTTTGTCTATGTATCCCTCCTCCCCCTGTGGATGTGGTGAGGGGGTGGGTGGGGGAAATGATGGGCTGGGGGGTCGGAGGGTGGGGGGCTGGGGGGAGGTAACCCCCCATACCATACGGGGGGGAGGGGGGGGCCGTGAACACGAGACACGGGACCATAAATACGTGCATATATATATATTGAAAGTATCCAGGTAGTATAAACACTCATAAATACTTTTTGGGCCAAACTGACCCAAAACTGTGGCTAAAGGGATGGTAAAACCTCCGGCAGAAGGGCCGGCGCAACTCAAGAAACCCGATTTCTTGGGTTTTGTGGCCGGCAAACTTAGCGGCAGAACCTGTGGTTAACTCTGTGGGAACGAAAAGCCATGGCATTTGTGCCGGCAAGTCGTATGGCAGAGCATCCGAAGCAGTGATGGACAAGCAAAATTAGGGGCAAATGTGCCGGCAAGAGGCCCGGCAAAGCGCGCGAACTAGCTCTGGCCAAGCCAAATACACGGACATTTTCAACGGCAAATGTGTTCAATGCAAAAGATGAAAGTTGGTACATGTTGGTACGTTTCAATGTGGAAAAGCTGAACAATGAAAATCTCTATTGCATCCCCCTCTGCATGGGGTCCCAGCAAAAAAAGATCTGCTACTCCACCAGGGAAGCAATCTTATTGGTGTTTTTTTCCATGAGCTGACTTGCACAATGTCCGGGCATTTGCAAAAACCGCTTCTTTGACTTTGATTGCCGCAACCTTGGCAAACGCCTGGCAAGAACCTTGCACAATCCTAGCAATAGATTGAAGGGTGAGTCGGGAGCAGGAACCTTGTTGGCGGAAACCCGGCAAAACCCGGCACAACCCGGCGGAACTGAACTGGCGAAAGCCTGGAACCCAGCGGAACCTAGCGGCACCCGGCGGAGCGGCAGAACCCAGCGGAACCCGGCGGAACCCGGCGGAACCCGGCGGAACCCGGCGGAACCCGGCAACCACCCCCCCCTTCAACTTACTTTTTTTCCGCCGGATTCCGCCAGGTTTCCGCCAGGTTTCCGCCGGGTTCCGCCAGGTTCCGCCGGGTTCCGCCGGGTTCCGCCAGGTTTCGCAGGGTTTTGGTAGGTTCCTGGCGGGTTTCCACCAGCCTCGGGCTTCTGCAAGGTTAGCGCGAAGCCGGCAGGTTTGCGTCAAGTTCTTATTCCCAAGTTTCTGCCAAGCCCCTGCCGTTCTTTTTCCAAAACAGTTTTCAGCTGAATTGTCAGCTCAGCACTGCTTGCCTGAGGGGCGGCGGCTGCTTGAGCAGCTTTGCTCTGAAATCAAGGTCCACGCAACCAACTTGTCCAGTCCAATGCGCGGCGCTGGACGCTGGAGACCTTTAACCGTCAGCTTGGCAGGCGCTAAGAGCGATAATGAAAACCCGGTATGCACCTGGTGTCTTGAAGTAGTGCCGGGCGCATTCCAACTTGGAAGCAAATAATGATAAATAATTTATGGTGGTGCCAGGTTGTGCCTTTTGAGGCAACATTTCTACTCGTTTGTCGTTTGCTGCTCTTTTTTGCCTCGCATTTTTGCTCTTGACCGGCACGTTGCCGCCTAGTTTGCCGGGGGTTCGGCCGCCTGCTTGGCCAGGGCCGAAACCACGATTTTCATCTTGTTTCTGGGGAGTGTTTATACTCCCAGGCTTACTCCAATATATATATATATGTATATGGATATGTAAATATATATATATGTATGTATGGATGGATGGATGTAATGTAATGTAATGTAATGTAATGTAATGTAATGTAATGTAATGTAATGTAATGTAATGTATGTATGTATGTAACTGTATGTATGTATGGTAATGTAATGTAATTTAATGTAATTTAATGTAATTTAATGTAATTTAATGTAATGGTATGGTATGGTAGGGTATGTATGTATGTATGTATGTATGAATGTATGTATGTAATGTATGTATGTATGTAATGTAATGTAATGTAATGTAATGTAATGTAATGTAATGTAATGTAATGTAATGTAATGTAATGTAATGAATGAATGTATGTAATGTAATGTAATGTAATGTAATGTAATGTAATGTAATGTAATGTATGTATGTATGTATTAATGTAATGTATGTATGTATGTATGAATGTATGTAATGTATGTATGTATGTATGTATATATATATATGTTTATATATATATATGTATATATATAATATGTATATATATATGTATATTTGTATATATATATATACATACAGATATATATATATATATATATATACATATTGGTCTACAATATAATGTTTGTTCGGTAACTTGGTAAACATTGCTAGTGGATGGGTTTCTGGGGGTGTATCCAACTAGTTACCTGGGTTTATAAACCAACTTATGACTAAAAAGATGGCAACCCTGGATTTTGCCAAACCCCTGGGCTGTTCAATTGGGGCAGGGGGTACCACAAAAGGAATAGTATGGAGACCTAATGGGGATAGTGGGCATCTGGGATATAATGGGATCGTTTCTGTTTGCCTATCCCATAATCATGGATGACCATGGTTACACTGCATCAGAATTTTAATACATATGACTAGATCCCCAAAATGTGGGTATGATTATAATAATGATGGTTTCCCCGTTTTATGGGGATATCATAGGGATATCATCATGATGGGATATATATATATATATACACATATATAGCCAGCCAATTTGTGGGAATATAACTGCGATGTAATTGGGATATCGAAGGAACACCGGTTACAAAGCCAGCTGTAAGGATATAAAACCACCCAATGTTATGGGTATCTAGTGATCTAGTGGTGGGATGTCATGGATATTAAAAAAAGAAAATAAATAAGTCTATATATATATGTATATACACGTATATATGTATACCCTACGCCCTACAGTGAACTAACATAGATTTGGAAAACACATGGTTTCTTGCCCTCGGAAAATGCTCTGAAAATGGTGGGTTTTCATGGGTTTTCCACGTCTACAGTATGTTAGTTTACAGGAGGGTGTGTATATATATATATATATTATGATTATATATATAGATGTACTATGTTTGACCAACAATATGATAGTTGAGTTGGGATGCATCCCCAAAAACAAGGTTTGGGAAAATGATGCATCAACCTCGAAAGCTGCAAATCCCATCCGCTTTTGCCGCTGGCCTTCATTGGCCCATTTGAAATCCGGAGAGAAGAAATGTGATGACATTAAACAACCAATAGTAAGGGGATCAACAGAGTAAAGATGGTGGATCGACCAACAGAATATTCAATGGTATACCAGGTTGATTGCATATCTTACACTATGACTATGGGCCATTATGGGCCTCCAAATCCATTCGTCCGTGGATTTTCACGAATTTGTTGGGCATCATCTTGGGTTGGCAAGCTTGTTGTTTTAACTGATTAAGGAAATTATCTTTGACATCGGATGGTCTCAAACCAAAACTTGTAACATTATGCATTCCTTCGCCGCTAAGTTTTAGCATCCCATTTTGTGGTTACCCTCCGGTAATCAAACATGGCAATTGGATGCAATTGGAAAGCCATTATAAATGAACGCTTTTAATGGGAAAATCATCTATAAAGGGGGGAATGTTCCATTGCCACGTTTGAAACTCCCGTGTTGGTTGAAGCCCTTAGTTTGTAGGTCAAGTCGGTCCAGGTTTCGTGTTGACCTTAGAAAACTGAGGCCCCCGGGATTGCGACGACCTGCGGAACTATCACCGAGAATTTCTGACAGGATCGGGGTGGTGGCTTTGGGGGCAGCCCAGAAATGGATAGTGTTCACACTGAAAAAATGGCCACAATAGATGGTCCAAAGAAGGACTTCAATTTTGGCCAGCGTGACGTATTTTCTTGATGCTGGGGGTTAGTGTACCAGGAAACATGGTGGAGGTTAACGTTTGAAGCCAAAACTGGAGAGAACATTATAGAAATCAGGATAAATCCAGGCTAGACAAAGGAGGTGAGACAAGCAACAGAAATGCTATGCAGTAACCAGCAGAAACGAAAATCTTAATCTCACCAACGAGTATGGCCAAATTTTGTGCAACCTTGGGAACCTTGACAAAAAGACACTTTGGTATTTCAGTGTATTCAACGATTCCCACATGGCACTTGAGGATTAGAATTTTGAGAACAACCCACTGAAAACCAAGAAAATAATCTTCCAGACCCTTATCCTCAGTCTTGAGGTGCCGGTCAACCACATCCATGTGAAACCAGGTTTGGGCTCATTGCCACGATTACGACCATCAAGTGGTCGCCTTTAATGGTTTTGAATCGTTTGATATTAAAAAAAATAAATATTATAAAAATGAATCAATTAATTAAGTATATTCCATACTGTTCTTATGATCCCTATTATATGTGCTCTGTTTTTCTTTCTTTCAAACCGAAGCCGGTACTACCGGGCACTTGGCGTAGAATCTGGCTCCAAGTCTGGTCAGCCAGACCTGGGCTAGTTCGGGGATGCTATGTCGAAGGGCACGCTGGGTGCAGAGGTCCAGTGGTTGCTGCAATTGGCCGGCACCGCAGCAGTCATCGAGACGATTTTTGATTGCCTTTCCGATCCCAGGACAAGGATTTTGATGGCTAGGATTCGATTATTTTTTTTGGAAATCCTATAAGAGCCTGAGTTTTGGGGTGATGAACATCCAGCCAATAGCAGCTATTTTGATATATTTTGATGTTCACCAGTTTTGCAATACATCACCAAGTGACCGTTTAATATTGTTTTCATCCATTGTTTGTGTACTCTCAGCCTCTCAGCTGTTGGAGATGACCATTCCTCAGGACTACACAAGATCTAGTGGTGAATACAGAGGCCACGAAACTCACAGATGGTCAAGGGAAGAATCGCGTACTCTTCTTTGGCAAAGAGGTTGCTGGTACTGCTGTGGGTCATTGGGTGTACTGCACTGCAAAGGGCAAAGAGTGGAACTCCTATGAGAAGGGTCACCAGAAAAGTGGCTCGCATCAGTTTTGCCAGTCTTTTGCACAAATTTACATGCTTGCAGATTTGGTCGGGGACAAGGAGAGCGGGACCACCCTCTTGCAATCAAACAATGGCAATGCCAATATCCCGTTTGAAATGTATGTTATGTTCCCATTAAGACCTCCATTTATTGGGGATTTCCCATTGCCATGTTTGGTTACCAGAGAGGAAAAATGGGAAAGACCAGGTTGCTCAACGATGCCTTTGAACGAAACAGTTTTGCTCCTTGTGAAAACACGTTAGATCGTGAGACCCAGCGGTCTCGGCAGCTAACATTGTGGGACCTGCAGAGAGGTCCAGCCCAGCAGACTGGATTGGATCGATTCGTATTGATTCCCTGTGGGTCTGCCTTAAAATAGGGTAACCCAAACTCCCATCATGGTTTCTCACTGTTTCCTAGATGTTCCCTATGTCCAACTAACATTTTAAGCTACAGCCCATTTCGGGGTGCCAGTATTCAAAATGTATCACCCACGTCCCTGCATGAAAATCACATGTTATCGTCACTGTCCTATGAAATTCTACCATTTTATCCCCATTTCTGAAAGACCTTTGGCCCAAAACAGGAGTTTGGAAGCCCTAAAACCAGCGCACGGAAACTCTTGGCGAATCTTCAAGAGGCGCAAAATGCCAAGGATTTCAAGTCCTATGGTGCCAACGTGCGCGTAGTGGCCATGAAACTTGATGGCAAGGGTTGGTTGGTCAACTTTTTCATGGTTGAAGTCATCGGCTAGCCCAATTTATGGCCATTTTCCTGGGGTCCCACAAAAGATAGAACTTAGAACAGCGTTACCAGGATGTTATAAATGAATACATGATGTGCTCTATATTTTCCAGGTTTCCGATTGTTCGATCTATGTGGGAGTTGTGCTATAGTTGGGGAAATGATGATCAACCAGTCGTTTTCGTGGATTGAACTTGGGCATGCAAAGTTGACAGAGCTCATGGAAAATGTGCTTCTTATCTGGGCATGGGTCAAAACTCAAGACCTTATGTTTATCTATTTTTAGTATTAACCGATGGTCAACTATCTAAGTATTGGGGTAGCCGACTTGACCCATAGCCATAGCATCGTGCAAGGTTCTCCAGGTCGTCAGGTCCTGTGAGTTTCATGGGGAAAGTGATGAGAAACCATAGGACCTTTGGAGCTAGCCAAGTTTCAGACAGACCCATTTTGGTTTTATGAACCCGTTTAACTGATATAGTGATATCTATATATATATAATGTGTGAGATTGTGTGAGTATCGCCCATTTTCGGAGAAATCATGACCATCAGATATATTCTTGATGATTCGAGGTATTGGTCTGCGGCCCTCACAGAACTGCAGCAGCAGTCGCAGTCGACCAAATGGCAGGGACAAACGCCTGAGGAATATCTTTTAAAGGAACTCCAGGGCATCAACCAGGACTGCCATGGAAGATGGCAGGAATCTGAATGGAGAGTCATGTTATGAAGCGATGGTTCAGCTATATAAGGTGGCATAGTTGGACGCCTTTAGACGGCCTTTTGCGGGGGGTGGGGTGGGGCATGTATTAACGATCATGTGAACTTGCAGATGAAGGACATGCTACGCTGTGGCTGCCGGCAAGTGCATGTATTCATGGGTGGGGTGGGACAATAACGTCCATGGCTCTCTCTTTCATAGGTCATGCTACGCTACTCTATGTTCTCTTGAACTTTGCACCCATGGGTCATGCTACAGGACTGTATGTTTTCTTGAACTTTGCACTCACGCGTCATGCTACGATATTGCTTGTTCTCTTGAACTTTGCACTCATGGGTCATGCTACGCACCCCTCCGTGACACAATATGTGTTCATGCGGTGGTGGCGTTCAAGCTTATAGAGTCCAGAGACTAAAAGGTTCTTGAAAGAACCGGAGGCGCTGCTCTGACCAAAAGACGGGTAAAAAATGCTAAAAACATGTGACGACGAATTAGTTTCAGGTCGGTCAGAAAACCCAAAAATTGTAGTTTAGTGTAGGCGAAATGACTGTTTTTGTTCTACTTCTTGTGAATAAGGGGTTAACGACCTTAAAAATAAAATCACACAAATTCCTGTTGGCACGAGCGCATCAAACATGATCAACAGCATCCCACTGATCCAAAAAAACAACGGCCATCTAAAGGCCGTGCTCCTAGTTAGACATCTGGCTTTGCAAGAAGGGCAAAGGATGGGTTGAAGGGATATATATATACACATTTATTTATATACATATATATATATATATAAATGTATATATATATATATTGTATACATATATATATATTTATAGTTAACTGGATTGATAAAACACCTTGTGCTGTTTCAACCAGCTGCCAATCAACCGGAGGAGTTGCGGGAGCACAACCTTCAGACCCGTCGCAAGACGGAGCACTTCAACTTGATCGCGGAGAGGGAAGAAGACATTTCGATTGACCTGGTGATCAGGAAGCTGGAGTTTATCAGCAGAAACGCAGAAGAGATTGCAGAACTTGTGGGATGATGTGGAAGATAAGGAGGAAATGAAGGAAGTCAACCAGGACTACCTACCAGTTGAACTTGGGTTTGCCAGTTGAAGTTTCAGCAGTTCAAGTTGATCAGCATTGATCCGCCCAAAGTTGGACCAGAAAACGCAGGCTGAGTTCTGCAGCACTTGGTGACCAGCAGTTCCCGCCATGACGATGAAATTTCACCAGGACGATCCTGGGATTTTCGCAGCTAGTTCTTCAGAGTCAAAAGAGGAACCTAGACGTTTTTAGGAGGGCAAGTGGTTTCGACGGTCATGCCATTTCCTCTTACTTGCACATCAAGAATTTTGCCCAGTGTGATCTGTGGCGCTTCGTGTCCACACAGCATGGTAGCATGTAGTTGACTGCGGCACGTGTCGGTTGCGACAGCCAAGTTGCACATGTCAGCCACAAGAGTCCCAGCATGGGCAGTTCATACAGTCGGATAGACTTTACACTCACACTTTAATTATATACATTATTTCATTTTTTCTCAAATCAAAAGCGTCAATGCTGCATGGTATGAATCTGCAATGCTACGTTTGATTGCAGGAACCGAATGTTGATGATGAATGGATCTTGACGGATCATGCATGTGAATTACAATGTACCATATCATATTATATAACATGATATAATATAATATAATATAACATAGTATAATTTAATATACAATATAAATTTAAATATAAATTTGAATATAAATATAAATATAAATTCAAATACAATATAATCTAACATATTATAAAATAATATAACAAATAATTTAATTAAATAAATCATATCATATAATATAATTTAACTAACCTGTTCATTATAGTACAATATAATAAAACATAATATAATATGATTTAATTCCATTATTATATAATAATATTTTATATATAATATTTAATATATCATATATCATATAATATATAATACTTAATATATCATATAGTTTAATTTAATATAATATATAGTATTATTTTCTTGTTAATAGAATATAATATAATATCATCAAATGTAATTTAAAATAATATCATATAATTATAACTATATGTTTAATCTTAATTATAGTATAATTTAAAATGTAATGCAATATATTATATAAAATCTACAATATATAATATATAAAATAATTTAGTATAATATAGAGTATTATTTTTTCTTTATAATATAATATAATTAAGATTTTAATTATAGTTATAATCATAGTGTAAATTAATACTAATATATAATATCATTTAATGTATAATATTTAATGTATAATATTTAATATTTAATTTATTATATTTTATATTTTATATATTATATATTATATATTATATATTAATTATTAAATTATAATATATAATATGGCACCTATACACACAGGGCACATATATATATATACATAGAGTGTGAGTGTATATACATATATGTATATGTTATAGATGGTATATATACATATATATCTATTTACATATTCTAGATATACATTATATATAAACGATGTATACATTTAAGATGCACGTGTATATATACATCGCTTATATATATATTATATACATATGTATGTATGTATATATATATATATATTTAATTCCATTGTGGCATAGGACGCACAGCGCCTGTTCTTCCAGGCTCCGTTTTTTGCGACGAGAAGCCGCTTTTTGCGGGTGAAACCACAGGCCGGCTGCGAGACCGTGGCTTAACCAAGCATCTCTAATAAGGGCCTGCAAGCGCTAATAAGGGCCTGTGATGGCCTGTTAAGCACCTCTTAGTGGGTTGGCTTCTATTGCCACAAAAACAGCAAACATTTTGGTGTTGAAACAAGAGGATGGTGATTGGCAGTGATCGGCCCTCGGACTGTGTCCGGAGATGTTCCCCAAACAATTCCAGAAACACATACACAAAATGATGCTTGAACAAAGGCAAACAATAGAGACGAACTTTGCTATCCGCGCTACTCTGGAGAATACTTTTCTGGCTTGAACCGTGAAACCAAAGTATGTTTGATTTTTTTGGACATGGTGAACTTATAGTGTTTTGTTTTGTTGTTGATGTACTTATATCTCTTACTTGGAAACCTAGAGGGCCTAGTCAACTCGTCACACAACTGGAAGCAAATCTCTGCCCGAAACGTGGCAGGCCAAGATGCATGTGAAGAGAGGCGCGGCAAAAAATTGGGCGAACCAAGCGATGCAGCTGTGGTTTGAACCTTTCTAAGATTTTTTGAGGCGATTTGTCGCAATTTCAGATCCCTCATTGAAGACTGCTATGAAAAACTCTTATTTCCTCAGACCACGAAATGTGAAATAATGTGAAATGTGACATCACGATTGATACATTTTGCTGTTTTCATTGCAGGTGTGACAGTCGCAAGGACTGTCTCTGGTACAGCTACTGGAAGACAGGCCTTGGCTGGAGAGATGATAGAAGAAAATTGAAGAAAGTGGGTGGAAAGCCACAAAGATTACCTGAGAGTCTACCAAGCAATGCACTTGGTATCACTTCCATTAATGAGTATAGCGCGTCAGGGCGGATCCCCACTTCCATCATCTTCCAAGAATTGAAGTGTGGGTTTGTCCAAAAGCACCCCAACCAAGAGTCCAATGTTTTTGTAGTTTCCCACATGTTTATCACAACCATTGGGATTATGGGGGTGTATCTAATACCATGTTGTTGGTTACAGAATGATAGATATTCTACGAGATCCCAATGATGATACAATGATGGTGTTCTTGTTGTTGTTCCTGTTCTTGTTCTTTGCCGTTGACTCTGACACAAGTCCGCACTTTGATGTCGGGCGGGGTCGGCGGATATCCTATGGGATATTCAATTACATCCCATCGATTCTTCTCAGTATATCCTCCCAAAAAAGCTGGGTTACATATTGCTATCATCTGTTATCCTAATTCTTCATGGATCCTATGAAGTATATCCCATGGTATCCCCATAAGATTCTTGGTTTGATAGCCCCCTATTGTACCTATAGCCCCCAAAAATATCGTCGAGTCGTCCAGACGATCAACGGCACTGGTGTCGCCTCACCAAACACTGTCGGACGTTGAGTGCAGAGCCGTGCCCTCAGAGATGAGGAATTCAGATTTCTGGGTAAATTATAACGACCTCACTGCGACCTCACTGGGAATCATGGTTAGTAAGGGAAATCATCCGCAAGTGGGCTTAATTCAGGTTAGTGAAATATTATAATTTACCCAGAGATTTCATCTGGGTGTGTTTGGAAAATCATAATGGGAGTGAATGACATATTCATCTTTAGATTAATCTATGAATATTTTGAAATAATGGCATTGTTTCATAATATGATGGAATCTGAATATTCAGTCTATCTTTTATCTTTAATGGAATATTCATGGCATTTCATGGGAGTGAATGGGATCTAATGGGATGATGAACGATCTGATAGTGGGGTGTGGTTGAAAATGGGGTATACATAGGTGTACCGTATACCTCCAAAAAACTAGCCATTGAAAGATGGGAAAATGATCAACCATTGGGCTTGGGGGTACAGGATTCTCAGACAAACCGATCTAATGTGGTAAACCCATGTTGGAAGTAGGGGATGAAACCACATATTTGGGCCAAACAATGGATGTGTTTAACAGTTATACCGTATATACCAGGGGGAATGGGATTTATGATTGAACCAGATTGAATCGAATGTGGTATGCCACAGTCACCATCCCCAAGTCATCACCCCAATTTTATGGCTGAGATTTCAACCATCCCCAGTCATGGGACTAGTTTATGGCAGCCAGGGTTTCCCACAGAAAAAAGTCAATGGATGAAGTCATCAGTGAAAGGATGTGATTCTATATGATTCTATATATGATTCCGATCGTTGATGATTTCACGCACATTTCCATTATCTGAATGGATTTTCATACACTGAATGATTTGACTGTGTTAAGTCGGAAAGGCTATTGTCGTTGGGTGATCACCCTGGCAGCAACGGTCATCTCAGACATGTCACGTGATAAAATGTAGCCATTATTACTGAAACGATTGTCATCAGCATTGCAATCATTATGTTTTGTCATCATCATCATCATCATCATCATCATACAGTAATCATCACCATCACCATCACCATCACCATCATGATTATGTTCACGACACTCCATGTGGAAACTGCATGCGTTGCTTTGTTGCGTTTAGTTCGGGGGAACGATTTCTGGAAGTCGGTGCATGCTCCGTCCAAGTGGTGTTTTGGAAGACGTGTTTTTGATCATGGATCTTTTTACCTGCGTCTTGTAGGTTTGGAATGTACCTATTGTGTTTGTGTCAGTTCCATTGGGGAATTGGATTGTGTTGGGTTTTGTCCTTTTGAACTTTGGAGATGTGTTTTTTTTTTGAAATGATGTGGGGGATTGGTGGTGAGGGATTGTTTTTTCATTTTTAGGATATCGCCGGGTATCGCCAGAGTATCGCCGAAAACACGTTACTTGTCTTGTTTTGCTGCTGCTGCTGCTGCTGTAGCTGTAGTTGTGGTGAAACTTTGCGTCCCATAGCCTTTGTTCAAGAAAATTATTCAAAGTTCAAAGTAACCGCAAACCAATGACCGCATAGATGCAGTTTCCACAATATAATTCCAATTTTGAGCCATAAAAAGCACCAAACATGAAATGAATAGATGATTGTTGGCCCACAGCGTCCCATGCTGATTTCCATAAATTTGGGCTGACTTCTCTGGCTTCCTGAATGCACGGCGTCCCATGGTGATTTGTGTTTTGACAGAAGGTGCACTGACTTTCCCAATTGGGAAATATATATAATTATATATATATATCATGATCTATTATTCAATATGAATATAATAATATATATTTATATATATATATGATATATGCATACGACACATATTGTCCATCAATATGGCATCGCCATCATCAGCATGTTGGTCGTCTTCCTGCGCTTTTGTTGTGCAGGTTTAACTACGAGGTCTTCGTCTACAAGAAGAAACACACCGAGTTGCAGGAGGCCAACGAATGGGGGAATTCCCCATGGAGTTTACTGTAGGGTACCGACAAAGCCATATGGTCCATATGTTACTGTACCCTTTGGTTATTTGCTACATACGGCGGATGGAATAAATATGAAGAGATCCTGTACCAGTTGATAGATGGTTTATACCATTATGTTTTAGGGTTTCCACCATCCAAGGTGATGCAGGATTTCTTCCATCCACTGTAGCTATGAAAGCCCGAGCCCATTTCGTTCGAGTTGGTGACAATTCTTTACCCCATCAGGTGGGATCTGGGGCCTCAAAATAGTGATGGCGATACATGTACCTACTTCTATGTGGTATAAGTAGAATGTATGTATAACTATAGTAACATATATAACTATAGTATAACTATGTATAACTAGTACAATTTTATGGGGATAGAATGGAACACAACGGGGAAATCACGGGTGTATCTATATCTATATATATAATGGGCTATGTAATATGTAACGAACAATTCGATTTACTGTAGGTTTGTCCAGAAATGCGCAGTAGCCCATATGGCAATGTCAATGGGGAATTTGCTTTTGCTTCGGAGTACCCTCCAGTAGTTCAACATACTGGTAGCTATGGAAGCTCATCATTTTTGATAGGTAAATGATCTAGAAATGTCAATTGTCCATAGCTATGTCAAATTACCATAGGATATCCTATTTTTGGAGAAACCCTCCCAGTTCTACGGGTTTTTTCTGAGGCCCAGTTGTAGGAAACTTAACAGCGATCATCCCGGCCGAGCGATTCCAAATTTCTCGTGGCACATGAACCCATTCCCACTATCCAAGGTACATGTGATGAAGATCATCTATTATGATATATATATATATTTACATATCATACAAATATTTCTACGGCTGAAACTGACCCAGCGTTCCAAGTGTTTCTTACCTTCTTCTGATAGCTAGATGTCATCAGCACCTTCACAGGCGGGGCTGCAAGGCGCGATCAGTCCCAAGATTCTTGGCGCCAATGGGCGGCGCTGCAGCGCATATCCCGCCTGCGCTGCAGTGAACCTTACGAAGGGCAACTGCTGTCCCAACAACAATCGCCACCTGGAGGGAAAAACACGATGATGGGTTTGTCTGAAAATAGAGGATACCCCCAGTATCCCCTAGTTACAGTATGGCCATTTTCATAGGGAACATGTTTGTAAACCATTGGAACTGGAGGGTACCCTAGGTGAAGGTTGGGGTTGTGGTGAAAAGCTGCCAGTATCGCGATGTCAAGCAATTAGAGGTCGCTCTTCTTGCTAGGTTTCCATGGCCACAAGCTCTAGCAGACTCTAGCAGTATGGGTGTTTGATGGTGTTTGGGAAAACTGAACATTGTGAGTAGAATAGATACTGTTCACTCTACCTGAAACAACCATGGACCATATGGACCTTCAGAATGACTCCTTGAGCGAGAGTTCTGAAAGGGATCCTTTCGCTGCTGTCCACCGGTGAAGCCGAAATCTGCACTCTGCCCTGCAGTTCAAGGTATCAGTCTCGCCTGTTGCAATGCCACAGTGGCAGAGGCAGTGGCAGCACTGAAGGACCCCACTTTGGAGCCAATTCTGTGGACGTCTCCCAGATGGTGAAACGTTGAAACCATGACCAAATTGCTGAGCGTAGCCGTTTGCCAGATGGGTATCTCCCACATTGGGCCCAATTGGACCCAAATTTCATCGTCACAGTGACTTTTGGGAACAGCTTGTATGATTTCAACCCAGCCACATCCTATCCACATATGAAAAGACTCCAGGAGTCCATAAACAGCATCGATTTGGCTTCAAGGATTTTTGTGACCCTGATGCAGGGGTAGATGCAAGATGGCAGAATATGAAACAAGCTTATGTTGAAAGAAGGCCAGCTCCATCACGGCACAAATCATACAGATTTGAAAACGGGATATCCGGGAAATCTTGAGGATATTGCTATCATTTGCTATCTGGTGCTTTGAACAGGTTGATTCCAGGTGACTCTGCCACCGCTACTGCAGGAGGCGTCCCAGCCGAAGACGCTCTTTCCGACTTTGCCGCCCATCGCCCTGAATGGAAGTGGCTTTGCGAAGCAGGTCATGTCGTGAAATCACGCAATGTGTCAGAGTACTCTGCAGACGGACTATGGCGGACTGTTGCAACCTTTCGGATTGTGTCGAGGTTGAAGGCAATAATAATTGTTGTTCATAGTCGAAAAAACAATTCTGGCACATATCCTAGTCACAGCGTCCGTTCGCTTGGGGGTCACCTGATTCATTTGCGACCCCGGAGTTCCAAAGAGAACTTTTAATTGTGGAATATTGTGGAAAAGCAGCCAGGCACAGGCTGGTTTTCGTGAGATTTTTCGCTAGGAGAAGTGCCCCTTCACGAAATTAGGTCTTCTCCCACCCCATCACTGGTGGGTCTTCCAAACAGCAGAGCGCCGAGATGTTTTCATTCCAAGTGGGTGTGTCTGAAAATGCCCAATCCATTGGATCACCATCATTTTACCCCATTAAAATGGCAATTTAATGCCATTTAGGGGTAGATCACATTTTCTGACACCCAAGTCACCCTGCGCATGTTGTGAAGTGGCAACTGATGCATCCGGCGCTGCCGGTGATTTCTTGTCGATGGCACAAGCAAAGTCTCGTGCCAAGGGCAGTGGCGATGCAATCTCTCCAAGAGTCCAAAACAAATGCTTAGAGAGTTGCTTGAGAACATGAGCTTTCCGGGTGTTGGATAGTTTAAACACAATAAAGGCCCACTATAAACCACTATAATATGTATATTACTACAAATCCCGGAGTTCTGTGGATTGAATGGTCCAAAATCTTGACACCAGTAAATACTGTCAAAATGAGGATTTATTCCTTGGCAGTGCAAACGCCATTGGCTGCAGTCCATCTGCAGGGCACGCCAAAGGTGCGTGCAGCTCAACAGACGTACAGCAAGTGAAACATCGTGAAGCCAATGGACCCACACTTTTTGACACCTTGGAGATCACTTCCTCGGTACTCGTATCTTCGACTTTCACAAAGAATTGACGCCACTATACCATACGAATCCATACGATATCCGCTATGGAGGCGACGAAAAAAATATGGACCATCTCTAAGGGCACCCAGTAACCTCCTGCCATCCTGGATGGCCCGGCTGGATGGTACGCAGCTCAGTTCAGGATTGAAGATGGCCCATCGGAGGCCAAGGATTCTAATTTCAGATCCCTATGACTCGAATACCGTTGCATCCTCTTGACATAAAGTACTGCAAAAAGATGTGCTCAGATTTGTTTGTTTGTTTTTTGTCAACTTTTTGCTCAATCAGTGGCTGCAGAGGCTTGCAGTTTGCGCAGCATACCAGTCGCTGATCACACGGACTTCAAATATCTTGAAACTTAGACATGAAAATGGCAACCATCTTCCCAGAATGGCTTCAAGGGAAAACTTACAGGAATCGCATGGACACCTTTTTTTGGGTGGGGGTACTCGGGTAGCCATTGATTGTTCCCTGATGTTCCCTGTCAATTTTCCCACGAGCTGCTTCACCAAGGTTGTTTGTCAGGTCGTTCATGTCAGGCGAGGCGAGTTTCGGTGCCGGTGATTTTATGAAGCCCAGGCCACTGCTGTTCCGACAGTTTCGAATCGTTAAACAACTCTTATTCAACGTGTTTTTTCATTCATGGAATCGTTGGTCATGATTCATTATGATAACATATGATAAGAATTGATAATATATATATATGATTATATATATCCCGTATTAATCCCGTATTATATATATATATCTTTTGATATATATATATATACTATTATATATATATTTATTACCCTATGATATGTATATATATATATTTATATATCCTATGATTTATATATATCCTATAATATATATATATAGATATGCATTGCATCATATTATATATATGTGTATCCTATGTTTAATATAATATATATATTGATATATATATATATAGATATATTGTCATATATATATATATATGTATTATCTATATTAAATTACATAAATCATATTATTTGGGTTTTTATTACATTACACTTATATTAAATTACTCTTGATTATGCAATATTTTAATATTATATTATTTTGTGATATTGGAGTATATAGGATATTATATAAATTATACTACATTATATATTATATTATTCTATATGTTGTATATGTATATATATTATATAAGTGATGACCATGTGCATTCGCTCGTGTCTTCCGACCCTGTGTTGGCAGTTTCTGTCAAGATCTGAGGCGCAAAGCAACCCCATTGGAAGGGTGCGAGGTTTATAGCTCCAAGGTGGAATGCTGATACAGTAGTTGTGTTGATAGTTAACAATATGAAAGGTGATATTAATTTAAACATAAAATAGTTAATAGTAAAGTTAACACATGCTAACAATACTTAAACATAGGTAATAGTTAATACTTAACAATAGTTGATAGTTCACAAAAATATGAAAGGAGCTCAAGAGTTTAACAAATAAATGCGGTAGACAATGATAAACCCAACAACGACCATCCCCAAAATTACAGAATTATTTCGTTTACCACATTAAAACCGAATTATTCACCATGAAAAAATTGGATGGTTTGCTACCTCAAAAAATTAACAGCTGATGGGTAGAGCCTTGATATCCCAGGTTGGTTGCCATGCCGTTGCAAAAAAAGCTGGAGGCAGTTATTGAAAGTAAAGGGATGGCCCATTCTCAGATATGTATGTATTATATATGGTGTGTATATATATATATATTTATACATACATAATACATATAATATGGATATCTATGTGTATATATATAATTACACGTATATGTTTGGTTGATCTTGGAGATTGTTGATTGATAATTCTCAGATATTGTTGTCAGATCCGGGATGTCTATTTAGACACCCCATGGTGTCACCAAACATGAACAAAAAATATCTATTTCGAGGATTTCCCCAGCTATAACCCTCCGTTTACAGAGGATTTCCGAGAAACAGCGATGCTTGATGGCACTTTCCAGGGTATATGTGATATATTCTGATATTCCATTATATCCCATTAACTTAGTTAGTTTGGTATCCCATTAAATCACCATCAAAACCATCAAATCACCATTAAATCGTCATTAGACCAACATTAAGTCACCATTAACATTCAAAAAAAACATTATTGATATTCATTCAACCACCAAAAGTCACCATTAGATCATCATAGATCACCATTAAGTAACCATTAAATCACCATGAACAAATCACCAACCAACGTCGTGTGATCCGGGCCAGGAATCTGAGCCAGCGCAGCTTTCGGATCGTGGCCACTTGGTTGGTTTTTTGCGGGTTCCAATGGGTATGGAAAGAGCGACGAATAGTAGGGGACACCCAAATAGTGCGAATAATTCGTTTATGAGAGTTTATGAGATAGTTTATGATAGTTGTTCCTGAGAGCGTCAGAGCGAAGGGTTCTTCTAAAAGTGGCGGTCTGCTATACATCTTCACATGTTCACATCTTCACTATCCTCACATGTTCACATACTCACATCATCTCATCTTCACATCTTCACATCTTCACATCGTCTTACCTTCACATACTCATATTTTCACATCTTCACATGTTCTCATCTTCACATCTTCACATCTTCACATCATCACATTTGCACATCTTCGCACATTTTCTGTTTCTCTCTCTCTCTCTCGACCTTCACCTTCACATCTTGACATCTTCTTACCTTCACATACTCACATCTTCAAATCTTCACATCTTCTATCATCCTCTATCATCTTCTCATCTTCACATCTTCTCATCTTCACATCTTCTCTCTCTCTCTCTCTCTCTCTTGCCCTCTGTCACGGTCTCTCTCCTTCTTTTTCTGTTCTCCCTTAAGGCCGCAGGCAGTGCCGACGAGGCGCCACGATATGGCAACCCTTTCGCATGAGGTTCGTGTGTCAAAAACTGAGAGTGTTTTTGCGAGTTCAGCACTTCCGCGGCAACCCTGTCGCACGAAATGAGGTTCGAGTGTCAATAACTGAGGTGTTTGCAATTTAACATCCTCGGCGGCAACCCTTTCGCACGAAACGGGTTTCGAGTGTCAAAAGCTGATAGTTTTTTGCGACTTTGGTTGGTCCGGCGGCAACCCTTTCGCACGAAATGATGTTTGAGTGTCAAAAACTGAAGGTTTTTTTGCGAGTTTGGTTGAAGGGTCTGCGTGTACAAGTGCTTGTGTGTAAAAGTGTTTGTGTGTAAAAACTTCTGAGTTCAAAGTGTTTGTGTGTACAATGGTCTGTGTGTAAAAGCGTCTGTGCGTAAAAGTGTTTCAGTGTAAAAGTGGTTCTGTGCGAATGGGCCTGTGTGTAAAAGCGTCTGTGTGTAAAAGTGTTTGTGTGTAAAAGGGTCGTGTGTAAAAGTGTTTGTGTGCGAAAGGGTCTGTGTGTAAAAGCGTCTGTGTCTAAAAGTGTTTCTGTGTAAAAGGGTTTTGTGTAAAAGTGTTTGTGTGTAAAAGAGTTTGTGTGTAAAATGCTTTGCGTGTAAACGTGTTTGTGCATAAAAGTGTTTGTGCATAAAAGTGTTTGTGTGTAAAAAAAGTCTCTGTGTAAAAGTGTTTGTGTAAAAATGTCTGTCTTCAAAAGTGCTTGTGTTTAACAGTGTTTGTGCGCAAAAGCGATTGTGTGTAAAAGTGTTGGTGCGGTAAAGAATCTGTATGTAAAATCACAGTTGTGTGTGAGGCATGTTTGTATGTACTGTATGAGCATGTTTGTATGTAAAAATGTATGTCTGAATTCTTCTTCCTGTGTCTCCTTCGTTTTATCGATCTTTTCTTTCTCCTTCAATTTCTTCATATGTACCTACTTTTCACAACATGTTTGCACCATGTCTCTTAATTTTAGGCATCATCGTATATTTCTATATTTATGTTTCATGCTATAAGATCTTCATACTTATACCTCTCACTATGCTCCTCTACGGTCTCGGGCCATCCGTTGTCTAGTTTGTGATAATTGATCGATTGTTGATCGATTGTTTCTGCAGCTTATCAACTGTTTCTGCAGTTTATCTGTTGACATTTTTAACCACCAGACTCACTTGGCGATTTCAGGCAATTTCATGCAGTTTCTCTTTTGTTTAATTTGGGATTCAATGCCATAAACCTCCGGTGATGGCTCAAGAGCCTATCTCTGGTAAAACTGGTATGGTTTATTCTTGGGTTTACCATATCACATGTTTTTGAGCAGACTAACCTGGCTATTGTCAAAATGTCATAAAATGCCCAGATCTGTTGACAAACCCAAATGAAATAATGTTGACATGGTAATTAAACATAGCTAGGGAAATCACCCAATTAGTTCGATGATTTACCTATCACAAGGGTGATTGACCATCAAATTGGTGGTTAATCGGTGAATCCCCCATTCTCCATGGCATTGATTCATCATCCCAGCTTCATTTTCAGTACAATTTATATAGATGATTTTAGATGTGGAAAACCCATGATTTCCCTAAGAAAATAATCTACAAAAAGTGGGGGTTTCCAGATCTATGTTAGTTTACAGGACAATAATATATCATAGATAATATCTCATATACTATATTAAACAACAAGAGGGTACCAGAGGGTAGTGAGTAACACCTATGCCGCAGACCGATGATCCTTTCTATAGCTCGCCTACCCTGGATGGTGGAGCAACTGACGAGGATTCCTTTGAGGCCACTTGGGGTGCAGGAGAGGGTATTTCGATTGGAGAAATTCGACTGAAAATGGGACAGTTCACCTTTAAGAAATTGAAGGGAATGGGGATTTTAGGTGTTTTTTAGATGATTTTAGCCACAAACATCCGACAATGATCGGTATCTTAAACTAAACAACGCAACTGGGATCAACTGGGTTTGTGTGTTCGAATTAAAGGCCTTTAGGAGACGGAAACAAGTTGGTGATTTTCAACGCCGACCGCCTCGTTTTGGGCTGAACAGAAAACTATAGCAGTATATATCAGTACATCAGTATATAATGCTCTTTGGTAGTCAAACGTGGCAATGGACATCTACAATACATGAATATATGTTATGTCTTGCACATTTAAGTATACGTATATGCAAGCTACTTGTATGTATGTATATATATATGATATATGTGTATAAGTTTTGACATACATATACACGCACATATCCACATACAGGATATACATGAATATATGGGCTATACATATATATATATATGTATATAATAATAATTATATATATATATATGGTCCCGCCCGGCGCCCGGCCGCCCGGCGCCCGGCAACCCCCCTTCCAATGCTATCCCCCCCCCAAACCCCCCAAGCAACCACCCCCACGGGGGCGGCCAGCCATCTACCACCATCCGTCAAGATCTCATATGCTCATATGCTATACTTACATGCTGGCCTCGTGCCACCTGCGCGCTACATAACAGGATACCTCCATGCAGTGTTCACTACTGCCTATAATATGCCAATAAAGTTCCTTTATAGTAGCCATATACTAGCTACTCTCAAGATCTCATGTGCTATACATACATGCTGGCCATGTACTACCTGATTATACACTATCTACATGATACCTCTTAAACACCCCACCCATCCCACAGGGGGCGTGGGGGATAGGCTACACCTTCCATCACTCTATTTACGCCAATAAAGGACCTTTATAGTAGCCATATACTAGCTACTATCAAAATTTCATGTGCTATACATACATGCTGGCCACGTACTACCTATACACTATCTACAGCTACATGATACCTCTTTAACACCCCACCCATCCCACAGGGGGGCGTGCGGGGTAGGCTACACCTTCCATCACGCTATTTACATCGTGTTCCTTCCATTTCCTGCCCATGAAGTACCTTTATGGTAGCCATACACTAGCTACTATCAAGATCTCTTGTGCTATACATACGTGCTAGCCACATACTACCTATAAATTTCTCTATATCATACCTCTAGAACACCCCACCCATCCCACAGGGGGGGCGGGGGTAAAGTAGACCCTACATCGATCATTTATTTGCTAGCGACATGTCAACTATATCCGGCACAAAGCCTCCATGGAATCCATGGAGAAAAAATGACCGAAGTCAGCTGGGCAGATCCCGCCCCACTTGGATGCGGCGGCTGAAGGCTGAGTGACGGGTGCAAGGTTTTTTTTTTGACCACCAATATATGGATTAATAGGATTAATAGAACTTAATATGTTGCCAGTTTGGTGGGATTAATACGGATTAATGCTGATTAATAGGAATTAAACCAAGTATATATATATATATATATATCTATGTATATAGATGGATGAATTTGATCATGACCTCACGCCGTGACGTCACTGGAATGATGGTTAGGATTCGGGGAATCATCCCCGGCCGTATGATGACAACTATTTTCAGGTTAGTGAATTATTGTACTTCAGCCATAGTGAATATAGTTATATTCACTAATAACCATATATTAACTATTATTATGAATATATATGGTTATCAAATGATCCAAAGTGATGCCTCATAGGTTGACGGCAGCTTGGTTACTGGGCCAATGGACGGGATCATGGGGGGCCACCACCTTGTAGGGTTTTATGGGGAAAATTGTGATTGACCAAAGGATTCGGGGATTCCCTGTTTTCAGACAAAAGAAATCATATTTTTCAGACACACCTTGGGGAACGGAAAAAGCTTGGTACACCGAACCAACTACCAACATATTCAGTTTTTTGAGGAAGGTGGGAAGGTGGATGATGTGGAGAGGTAGCCTAGTATGGTTTGTCCAAAAACAGTCGACACCCAAAAACGCGGCAACTTTAATGCTAGACCATTGGATTTGCAGGTAGCCTATTCTTGGATAGGTGCATATTTTAGCGAGCTCGGCTCGGTGGTGATCTTTCTGGTGGCATCCCGGTGATGATCCCCGTTACTCTGAAACAACCAACCAGTTTTGTTGTTGTTCTGGTGGCCAAGGCGATCAATGATTGGGATGTGTTCCATCTACCTGGGAATACCCCACAATGACAACTTCATGGAAGATGTCAACCACCATCAGATTTTGGTGCGAAGATTTTTCTCCATGTTTTTTAGAGAAATTTAACCCATGAATTCATGGGGGAACAGCCACCAGGCTTGGTAGTGCCCTGGTCTTCCACCACCTTTCATGGCTTGATCATCCTGGAGGCTGTGGATGATTTTCTTCACAGAATCCACCACTTGGGAAATTCTACAAGGAAAATTCTAATATATATATATATAATATATATATACATAATTATATATATACATAATTATATATATATATACATATGTACGTATAATCTTATATGATTATATTATATGTGTTTTATTTTTGGGAGAGTCCTCAAGAAAATCCAAGAAGTCTGAGAGAACTTTGGGATGTAGACTATGCTTGGATGGGCATTGCTGTACTGAATGATGGGGTAGATTCGGGTAGATTCATTGGTTCACCAAGACATGGATCTAACTCAGCCGGCCCAGGTTTGGCACCCCATATAGCAAAGATGGAAAAGTTGGAGACGTGGCTCCTTTGTATCAAATCGTTGAGCTATACCCCCTAGCTGGGATGTATAGTATACACATAAGGAACTTTCACAAAAGTTAGTGTTTTCAACATGTTTGGCGTTTCCAGATATTCCTGTAGCACATGGGCATGCGGCAATATATTTTTTTAGGTGCAAGGGGGACACATGCTCCAGATGTGTGATGGTGTTGAAATTGTTCGAATGGGCTCATGCTTTTACAGAAACTATAACATGTTGTGTGTTTTGAGTTCTGAACATGTGTCAGTTGTAAGCTGTAATTAGACTTCAGAAAACTGAGCAACTCAGGGGAAATAGTGCAGAGACATGGCTAACCTGCACAGAATATGTAACACATTCAAGCACATTCCTGTCGCTTCATCCCCGCCCGGAAAGAACCATCTCCTCTATCAACAAGACAGCGGAGCGTTACCCACTTTAAATATCCTAAACACTCTCTTGTCATTTGATTGTCCTTTTCCTTCCACAAATACTAGACCACTAGCCCCTGCTGCTGCTAATCTCAATTTGCTTTCATCCTGACATTCTTCCTTTCCAGCGGGATTTCAACCAACCACTTCTTGGCCTCAACACCTTGCCCTGAAAAAGCTTTCCGCCTTGCCAAGGTGCTAAACCTGATGTCTTTCTTGTTTTGAAGCTTGAATCTTCTCTCCCTTTCCCACATTATTTGGTATTATATACTACATCTGTCTACTCCAACTGGGTGATGCTGAAAAGGCACCGTCCAGGATAAGGACTTGAAGCTTGACATCGTAGGAACAATATCTCTCCACTTTGTGGAGTATCATCTAGTCCTCAAATTTGAGAGCTCTTCCTAGGGGAGCTCTCCGCCACATTCAAAACCAGTACCAAATATACCTGGCTTCGGTGATCCCAACCAACTTTGCACATTGGCAACCAGTGCTACAAAGGGAAGGTGGAGAGCTCTTCTAAGAAGAGCTCTCCGCTTTGCAACCAACAGCAGGCATCCCAAAGTGGAGAGGGATTGGCTTGACACAGGGCAGGGGTAGAGAGCTCTTCGAGGAAGAGCTCGCCGCCCCCCCAAAAAGAATTTCTCGCCGCCCCCCCAAACAACCGGAATACCTCGCCGCTCCCCTGTTGGAAATTCCTCGCCGCCCCCCAAGCAACTGGACTTCCTCGCCCCCCCGCTTCTCAAAACAAAATGCGGAAAACCCTCGTGGCTTATCCTTGGAATCCTTTAGTGGCCCTTGGTATGGGAGAAGCTAACTGATGGGAGCCAAGTGTCCCTAATAGTCACTTTTGGACAGTTCGCAAGAGTAAACACTGAGTATGCTTAGTTTATTCTTAAGTAATTGGCTATACTCCCTGACTACTGGAAGTCTAGCATTCTCTTGGCCTAGTGAGGTTTGGAACAATTGTCATTGAAATTCAAATGCGCAAAAGATTCCGCACTACTGCTGCAACTCCTGGCCAAAACTCAAAACACAAAAGTTTTGAACGTGAATCCCCCTAAGAACTTCTTGCCATCGATCAGAATCATACATTCAACACATTCATGGTGGCACTACTTCCGTGTTGGGTTTTAACAAAAAACATATCCTCCGCCAACCTATATCGCATATATATATACATCAGATATGCATGTGTGTATATTACACAATCATATACTCGTATATGAGTGTATATTATAATTCATAAATCGAATAAATATTATATATATATATTATAGAGAGAGAGAGAGAGTGAGATGATGTGCACATTCGTTTATGTACGTAATGCTATGCATGAGTTTGACCTTTCCCAGGTGGAATCTGGGCAGCTGATCCGCTGTACGGTTGGCCCCAAGGAGCCAAAAAAACAGTTCATCCGGTTTCCATCCCCCAAAATGGATGGTTATAATGGAAAAAATCCTATCAAAATGGATGATTTGGGGTACCCCCATTTTAGGAAACCTCCATATGTAGCCGCTTATATTTTACCATTCCCCAAGGTGTTTCACAGATCGTCAATAGCGCATGAGGACAGTATATAAATTTCCAACCCATGAGTCATGACAGGGTCTATGTTAGTCGGTGGGATGATATTTTTCATATATCAATCCCCCGTTCAAATTAACCACCCCCCAGAAACAATGGTTAAATAGGAAATTGATATACACATTTTTGGGACCATGTACGGGGTGTTTAAATTCAGGCATTGGCGTATATGGATAAATGATGGAGACCTCTCTGCGACATCACTGGAATGACGCTTAGGTTTGGGGTAACCAATCCCAATCGGAGGCCGAACTTTGCAGGTTGGTGAAATATGTTAATTCATGCAGACACATATGGCTTTTACCCCATAAGTTGAGATTTGGGGGGCGCAAAATAGCTCTGGCGATAAATACACACTTGTAGAAGGGGAAAACAAAACAATTTACGGATATACATATATATATAATTATTTATATATATATATATATGTGTATATATATATATAATAGATTATAATAGTAAATATAATTGGGATATGATGAACTACAATGGGATGTGGTATACAGAGGTGTATACAGATCACCAACTTAATTTGATATTTGAATTTGTCTGAAAATGAGCGTTGCTCTAATGTATGGTAGTTTAACTGGGGAAAGTGCTGATAAACACAAAAGATTTTGGGGTACCCGGGTACCCTATGTTCAAACAAATGATCCAGATTTCAAGGACTATCGATCTGGGCTTCGTCCTTGGGTTTCTTGCCGTTTGGCAGCCAGCGCTGTACACAACAGTTTTAGGGTAGCATAAGACCAAACTTGTGTGACAACATGCTGCATTTAGAAGCTACTCCAGCAGCTACAATTCTGCCTTATCTGCTCCCCCGCCACCTGTTGCATGTCTCAAGAAATGGGGTGTCCATCCTTTCACAGTGGCACACCAATCCATAGGAAAGTGATGCTGGTCGCGACTGGTTTGGCTCTCAGGTTTTGGAATGTGTTTGATCAGTTGATGGGCGCTTAGTCCCAAACTGTTTCAAGTGGAGCCTTCCATTGTTAACTTCCCCTTGGATGGTCCTGGAGCTTAGTCCTCGCGGCTGACATGGCTGATTTCTAATTAATAGTGGTGCTGTCACGAACTTCTTATGTTAACTTTGGGTTGGTGGTGCAGAGTTGTGATTATTGATTATTCCGTGAATAATTCATGCATGGGATTCCATGTTGCCGTCGCAAGAACAAACACGGCCAGAAAGTCAGCAAGACAGTGGGGACAACCCACAACAGCCGCAGGTTGCGATTGCATAACAGCGATTGGGCTCCAATAGCAGAGGACACTTGTGTTGATGGCTCTGTGAACCCCAAAAGGATCGTCAACCAGCCAACAAGGAGCTTGGGGTAAAGAGGACGTGGCCAGGGTAATTTATTAAAGACAGGCTGTGATTGCCCCCAGAAATTTATTTGTAATCTACTGGCACTTCCACCATCTTCCACCAAAAATCATCAAAAATCAACTGGTTCAGGTTTTTTTTTCCATCCAAAAATCTAGGGATAAAATGGGATAATCAGTTCCAATGGCTCATTCTCCGCGAGGATGATTGGCTGGAGCTGGGCCCTCGTCATTGGTTTGGAGCGATTGGAAATTCGGCATCTCGGAGCGCCATTTTGACAGGCCATTTTTTCCCGTGGATTTCACCATTTTCACAGACCAAAAGGTGAGTCAGCCATTGTTAGTTGGGGATAATTTGGGATGATACCACTGGGTATCAACTTGAATCAACATATCATTTCTGTTCACAACCTGAAACGTCACTTAGGGATTTTAAATATGGACAATGGGTAGACTTACCAAGAAAAGAGGAGTCGAAGCATGAAGTATTACCAAAGGAATGGAGGTCAACACCATGGTTCTTTGGTGAACCCCAAAAAACCATGGTGAATAGATGTCATGTCGTCACCATCCAACCATGACAATCAGGGGTCCCATTTCTAAGACAATCGGGGATGGTTCATGGCCAGGGTGAATCCCTCATTAGTTCATGGGATGTTGACTTTGGCACCACCAAAACGTTGCCGAAAAAACCAAGAGAAGGAGAAAACGCAAGAGAAAAGGCAATAGACCAATAGATTGCGCTGGAGAAACTGTAACTAGCAGAAGAATCTTTGAGGTTGGTATTTCAACTCCTACTGACTTAAAAGCCTTTTGTCTAGACATGGACAGTTTCAGAAACCCAAAGTGGGGATAGATGTTCTAAGTGTGGGGCTTCCCCCACCTATTGGAGAGCCTCGGTGAACGCGTCTACTCTACGAAACCTAAGACTTGAAACTCACTTCAACTTTGCTTTCCACTTCTGACATGGAAAAATAGTTTTTATTCAAACAATATATTTTTGATTTTAATACTCGTATTAGGGGAAAGCTTCGGAATCCAAGTTTTGGCAATATGTTCATGAGGATTTAAAAGTGAAATTCATGGATTTTGAAATGGAAAGTTGTGGTTTATCCTATTAAGGTCTAAAATTTGATTATTTTAGGGGGAAGCTTCTCGGCCTAATGCTAAATACCCCCTTGGAATTCAACTACGAAACGGCCTCGTATTTTTTGCACATGCATATGCATATGCGGTGGCGATATCTTAGCATCAACATCAGTTTCCCTTACAATAGCATGCATCTGGCATGTTCTAAGTGTGGGGGTCTCCACAGGTGATTGTTAACTTTGTGTTCATATAAATATAGTGATGTCAATAGATATTTATATATGTATGTTGTAATGTCTTGGGATGTTCTAACTGTGGGGACTTTCGGATGTTCTTAAACATAGCTCCCAGTGTACTCAAAAAATGTTTTTCCAACAGATGTTCTAAGAAATTGTCCGTCGCTATATATTTATATAGTATATATGTGATTATATTATTTATGTTATCCCCTTGGAACCCAACCATGTATTGCTGCCAAAACAAACTAGAATAACAATGAGTAAAAAAAACAATAAGTCCTTCAAAAATATCTGCCAAAATGATATAAAAACACTGTAAATACCAGTAAAAAACAGAAACATTGTATTTTTTGGGGGGGTACCATATATACACACACATATATACGTATATATATATAGATATACCATTATACCTGTATATACATATATATATATATATCCATACACATGTCTGTATATTTACCCATATATATATATATATATATATATATCCGTACACATTTATAAATATATATACATATATATATATATTCACATATGTCTATCTATTACAGTATTTGCCATGCTTTCCCCATAGAATGGTTCTGCTCGGAGGCATCACTGATCTTGTCGGCTCAGGTACAACTACAGCTGACCTTCCAAGAGCCGACTTCGGCGAGTCCAGGCCAGTGGATGTATTTGAACCATGAAAAGTAGCCTTGCTGATTGGTTCAACCACTGAACCATATAATATGTTTCATAGTATATATATAATGGTTAAATTCAGTATATTTACCTTTGTTTATTGGGGAATATAGGGATTTATATATACATACATGGTTTTTAACCATCAGAAATGGAGAGCCCTCACATGATAAAACTGAAAAATTGATGTTGATTGGTTATGAAATGAGGAGTCAAAGGATAATTAATAGGGATCATGATACTTTGGGGAAAATGATTGTGGGGATAATTATTGGGTATTCGTGGCTATACATTCTTACAGGGAGTTTTACTACCTAATTTATTGTTGGGGATTAGAACACATGTAGTATATAATGCATAGAGAAACCTATCAACCAACTAGTACAATGAGATGGGATAGGGATAATTTTAATGTCTCATTTGGGTTTGTCTGAAAATGATGCGAAGCTTACCCATAAAATTGCTTGTTTTAACAGGGAAAATAATGAAACCATCAAATCTGAGGGTACCCTATTGTCAGAATAACCCATTTGCTAGCTAATGCTGACATAGTTTGAAACGGTCAGAAGGCCACGTCCATCCAAATGTCCAACTAGATTTGTGGTTTCCGATCCATGATCAACATAGACCCTTTACTTGAAACGGGGTTAACGTGCCTTCTGTTTGTTTTTGAGGTCATTCACCCGAGGCCATGCCGGAGGGGGGACAACCGTGGTCACAGAGACCTGAGAACATTCAGGGTGGATGATGTGGAGTGTCATATACACTATGATTTCGCCACATTCCAAAGATGATTCAAAGATGAAATATGGATTGGGAACTGAACATAAGCAGAACCTCTTAAGGTGGATTAGAGAGGGTCCCAAGTTTTGAAGGTAATTGTCGCCAAAGATTGGCTAAACGGAGGATCAACTTGGGTCCAAGATTGGTTTAAGAAGGGGCAACATGGACCAGACAGGTGTAAAAAGTTGCATGAAGAGATCAGCAGGAGGTCAAGGTAGCACCGAAAACTGTCCAAACAGGCATGTGTTCAGGTTGTAGCGTGTTCATGTCAGGCTTCTATCAAACTATAGCAACCCCAAAAAGATAGAACAAGTATGAAAAAGTAAAATCCTAGTAAAATTGCGGCAACTTCTCACCTTTTCTGCATCTTTTTGGGGCTTTCATATAGATAGCTCAGAGGCGGTTGCATTAAGAGACGGGAGCATCAGCGACGCAAGGAGCTGTCAAGCGCAGATGCGTTGGCTGCTTGCGTGTCTTTCATGAGTGAGGCAGCCGCGCAGCTGCGCTCGGAGGGTGGTCCTCACAGCTGGTGCCCCACAGCGAATTTGGTTTGAAACTAGGTAAACTGCTGGGTGTGTGGTTGATAATTACATGCTGATGTAAATAGTGCATTATATAATGTAAAACATCACTTGATGTGAATTATATTTACATTTGGTTTATAATTATAATATCTGATATGTATTAAATGATATATAATCTTTAATATACGATATTTTTAAATATGATGTAAGATACAGTATATATGATATAAATGAATGTAATACAATATAATATAACATACGTATATAAAATGTTATAATATATCGCTTTGAATTTACATATATATTATGGAATATTCAATTTAGTAGTTAAAAAGAAAGATCCATCTTTATTATATGATATATGGAATATGATATATGAACTATGAAATCGTTCACTATATGCAATATTTAATTTGCAATATTTAAGGTATGATTAGATATTTAATATGTAATATATAGTATGTAATGTGCAGTCTTAAATATATAACAGTTGATTTGTATACCTTAATATAGGATATATTATCGATAGTATTCAATATACAATAAACATGCCTTTTTTTATTTTAATTCTATGATATTTAGAATTCAATATTTAATTTATAATATACCATATTTGATATATAATATGCAATATGTAAAATGTAATATTCAAGATATAAATGATACTCAATATATGATATATACTATGAAATGTGTAATCTATTATATAAGATATGTTGTTGATGACCTATGATATAGGATATATTTTAGACAATATACCACATACAATAATACAATGCATTAAATATAACATATCATATATAATATATGATATGTTATTCTCAATTTACAACTTTTAATATATGATATAACATATTTGTTATCTTATTCATCATGTTTTACGTTTAATTCATCATTTGTGATAATATAGATACATACATATGTTAATATGTAATATTTAATATATAATTATATAATTGCTTAATATTTTGAATACAATGTACAATATTTTTCCCAGCACAGATAACCTTTACTATTTAGATTTTAATACATATTAGATAATACATAATATTTAACATATAATTTATAATTCAATGTCGTATATTATCTACAACATATGTTTTGAAATTTATGTATATGTTTACAGATAATAGAGTAGATTCAGGTTATCATATCAAAGGCTTGTCTCAAAGTGATGCTGCTTTAAACCATGGGATGGACTAGAGAAAAAACGAAGGTCCAAATTCTGCGCCAATTCCCATCGTGGTTTTTCCATGACAGGTGTGAGGAGATTCTCAGATCATTGAGAAAATGTATGAGATACTGTAATTATATATTCTTGCTGCCCCTCCTCTGCTGAGAGATGATAAAATATTTTGTAAATTCACAGAGATGATTGAACGATTTTTGTGTTGCATGTTTGTGGCTTCCGTTCGCTTAACAAATCAGTTTTCTCAAGAGAAGCGCAAGAAGCATGTGAGGATGGGTCAAAGCCAAGTAGTGAAATCTTTCAAACTGATGGCGTGCAAAAGAGCAAACCTGCGTAGTCTAATTTATTCATGTCTGGACTGTTCTTGAGGGTATGGGTGGTTTGGAATTTTGATCCACACCCTCAAATTGTACCAAAATTTGTCAAACACTCAAGAATTGAATTTCGAAGGTGGGTCTTCCTGTGTCGGGCGTGCGCGCTCTGGCAAACCAATTTTTGTATATGTTGCAACCTTTGCACCCAATGTGAAATCACGTGAGCTTGCTAGGTGGATTCCGCATCACCATCAACGGTTTTCCTGAATGTGTCCGAGCCTTTGTCAAAGAGTGCTGGATTGAATAGCAAAAGCATGCAAAAACCATGTCAATGTTTGCATAATCTATGGTCCTGCATGAAGTTTTTATGCATATTACTGTATGTACACGATTGCCTTCATGCGAAGTGTTTGATTCGCTGAGTAATCCCATCGCCCTAATATTGTATAAACACCCCTAGAAACGATGGTTTAGTAGGGGATTCACACTTATTTGGGACCACACAATGGGGCTGTTTAATATTGGGTGGGATGGGATGATATGAACTCTAGCTGTTCCAGAACTTGTAGCTAACACTGCAACACTGCAACATCAAACAATGTTTCTCTCCAAGTCGCCGGCCTCATCAGGTATGATTTGGCGCCAGTGACGTCCGGTCCATGGCGGTGGTTGTTTCTTAATGGCGGGGGGATCCCCAAGTCTCCATAGGGTTTCAGTACTAGAATGGTCATCCATCACCAATTTAGGAAGCCTCCACATCTTACTACTGAATCTGATAACTTTGGATGTTTGTTGAAACATATGGACACAAACTTGTGTTCATCCTTGTCCATGTCAGGCATTGTTGGTAGACGTGAAACATTGCTGCACGTTGACCTCTCTAAGGTCGGCAGTGAATAGCTTGCTTTGCAACACTGTCGCAAGAGACCCAAGAAACGGCTGTAGGCTTGACACAATCCTTGCATGTCTTCACCAGGGTGATGTCTGGTTGTGTTTAGATGATGTTTTGCTGTTTCGTGCCAATATCATGACTGGTGCTTTGAGAATTTGTGTCATTTCCATCACAAGCTGATGAGACTTTTCTTTACGACTCATGTTTTGGAGGAGGTGCACAAAAGCGCCAACCAGACATCACTGAGGCATTTTGATCATGTTTGATTCATTCTTCACGTCTGGATTCACGAAGCAGTGAGGTCAAGACCTTTGGTGCTTTTCATGCCGCCATTGAAGTTTATGGTGCTGAATGGTTCGGGTGGCCCAGACCGGATCGATGATATCGATGTTGACGTCTTAGTAAGGATGGTCTGAAAATAGAGTGTATACCCATGAAAACCACTGGTGAATCATCATGTTCCTATCAAATGGCTGTAATTGGTTTGAGTTTGCTAGTTCAGACTAACCCATATGTTGGCCAGGTAGCATTTTCTTTCGAGAGGTTGACAAGAGACTTGATGTGCAAATGTTCTACACAACATTCGAAAATCTTGCTTAGAGAGATGGGTATGGACGGTGTGGTTGGTGATTGCATTCACTGCAGATATCTGTATATATTATATGTATACATTGACATATATAGTATATTATATATATATATGTATGTGTCTATAATATCTATCTAGGTCACTGTGTTCCAAGGTAAGTGCTTGCAACTAGCGTGAATTCGGCCATCTCCAACTGTTCTGAGCATGAGAGGCAGAAGTGGTTCTTATCAGCTGTACCAAGCACGCTGGAAAAATACGGCTACTGATGAAATCTGTTTGCGCAGGTCATTCTTAATAGAGGCCATGTTGGAGAATCTTGGAACCCCCCTATGGCAAGTCACCATGAAGTCGTCATTTTGACTAAGGGGCTTCTACCGTCAGCAAGATCCAGATCTTTGTGGTGTATGCAGGTGTCCCAAAAACTTCCCACGCATGGCGCGACTGGAAGTGTCGGGATGAAATGATTCTGGCTTAGTTCAGCAGTTGAAAAACCCGAAGAAGATCGCCTTTTGAAGCAAAGTTTCTTTGGTGGGATGTGAAGACTGTGAAGATCGCGTGTTTGTGAGCATGGGCATTCAGATGATTTCAGATGCATTATCTGCATTATCCCATTCCAAAGTGGGAGTTTTCAACCACATGATTCTGGATGAATTGCAACAACCTCACTGTGATGTTAGTGGAATGATGGTTCATGAGGGAAATCATCTTTAAAAGGCTTTATTTCAGGTCAGGGAATTATCATAATTTACCCAGTCAATCATTGGCCCGTCTATGGAAGTTGACCAGTGGATGGAGTCAGCAGGCTGCATTTCCGAAACGAAACATGTGGTACTCTTTTTCGCCACTGACACTGTGAGTTTTCACACTAGCTATTTTATATGAGTTGGATTCTGGACAGTCTATATGGGATTGCCACCCAAAACATGGGTACATATGCGATTCATCATCTGATATGACCTAGGATTTAGAGTTACCGAATTGAAGAGTAGTATCTGAGAGATTTTCGCTTTTGGAATATTGAGAGCAGAGACTCGACTAGCGACAATATACCCTCAAGACAACAATACTGTAAACTGTAGCATGTTCTTATCGTTGTTTCCAGCTATCCTTTCCAGCAGCTGATTTGATCGTGTTTGCGGCAGCATCTGGCTGTTTAACAGTATACAATTTTCCCCATCGAATATCTATAGATTTGGGGTATATACCTCATTTTCAGACGCACCCATGTAGGTTTCTCCAGAAATGGGGTTTACCGCGGGCAAGTTTGATGGGCAAAACGATGACAAACCACCAAGATGTTTGGAGGTCTTGCCATAGATTTTCCCATAGATTTCCATTTCCCATAATTTCCCCTCTAATTTTCCCATAGATTTTCCCATAGGTGTCCCTCTATTTTCTCCATGTACTCCTCTTATGGAACTTCAACTCGTAGCTTCCGTGGCAGGAGTCGTGTCAGCCGCGGCATCATCCGGTGCATGTCTACCGGCAGTCCGTGAATCTGGGGCAAACTTTACTCACGGAGCGACGACTCGGCTGGGCTGTGGGATAGCACAAGGCCCTATGAGGTACAGTATAGAATCGTATAGATATATCATATTATCATGATATATTATTAAGATCTATTAGTTAAGTATACGTAGATATATCTACGATATTCTACGATAAACCCAAGTTTATCAGAGTTTTTTTATCGCAACCTTAGCGTTCTGGGGCACCACCGATACCGGTGAATCCCCCAGAAACTCACCATGAGTACGGGATTTGTTTCCACATGTTGTGTCCCATTTAGTAGGCAGTGTTTAATATATTTAATTAATATGAACTAAAAGATCATGTTCCCAGTAACATCCCAATAGTTTTCAACATGGGATAGAATTACACTTTAAAGGGATGTCTTTTTCCCATGATCATTGTCCCATATTGAACTAAAAGATCCATCCAATATGTTTAACATTAAACTGGCCACATATTGGATGTAATTCTATCCCATGTTCACACCAAAATTGGTTCAGAATTTCCATCTGGGATGGTTAAATTTGGTTGACTTGAAGGATAGGAGCACATTTACACATGTTGTACATGAGTATATATTCAGTAGATTCTAGTAGACATTGTATATCATCATATGACTATATCATACAGCCTGAGTATAATTACATGATACATCATGTGTTTTATCATAAAATGGTATCATAACCAGTATGGTTTATGATACATCATTCATGACCAGTTGGTTTAAGCGTTTGATAAAATGCCCGCGCGACGGACATTGACCAACTGGTCCTGGCGGCCACGGTCTCACACCGCTTGGACGCTGCTTGGACGCCGCAGCCATGTTGGGGCCTAGCATTAACAGAGACACATGCAGACACATCAAGGACAGCTGTATTTTTTGTATGTTTTTGTGTGTTGTGATTTAATCAGTTCATCATAGTTCATCAAAGTATGCCATTGATGTTGGCAAATCTTCTGATCTATCACCTGGTCACTAAACCGTGAAGATCCGTGAAGCAGGTGGCATGAAATCGCATGAAGGAAGTGTATGAGGAGAGATGGCATGATCGCAAGGGTCAAAGGAGAAGAGCCCAAGGTATCAACTGACTCCTCCTCAACATCATTTATCAATATGATCGTCATTTGTTGGGGAGAATCGATCACGATAGCCTGATGAGAGTCATCATATTTTCATTAGCCATCACAGGGTGAAGGGATATTATACCAGTAACTTTGCGGAGAACTGTGCTGAAGGGCCACCAGAGCCCAAGCTCAGAGATGCCAGTTGCTGAAGGAGCAGAGGAGGCAGGGAGATAGATTTTATTGTTTTATTCTGGTAGCCCCAAGGGTCGGTTCTTCTTTGGCGGTTCCTTATTCCTTATTCTTGTTAAGTGATGTTAGATGTTCCTCTTGATTGTCGCTTTTGTATTATCTTTCGAGCAAGTGGTGCGATTCAAAAGCTCAGTGAAGCGGTGCCAGAAGAGATAGGATGACACGAATTTGCATTGTTCTCTCTGAAATGGATATAGGTCAAAGGTCAAAACCTATGGCACTATAATTGGCGGGATTAGCATCCGTTTACCAGCTATTTTAATGATGCTGACCAATGTACTGGTTTTTTTTCCATCACCAAATGATTTCTGTTTCATCTACGTTTCCTCCAGGTCCACTCTATGCAAGAAACAAGCATAGTTTTCTGATCGTGGGGAACAAGCCAAGGTATGGGGTGGGTCAAAATTTATTAAACAATTGTTGGGGGGCGATAAACATCCCTTTCCCACCTATGTTGGTGTGAACAAAAAAGTGCACCAAAGGTTTGGGTGTGTCTGAAAGTGCGGCTGAGGTACCCCATATGTTGATGGTCATGATTTTCCCCGTTAAAAATGGCCGTCTTTTGGGTATCTGCCTGAATTTTGACAAACCCTGGTGACTTGCAATGTCCAAGGGAGCGGAAGAAGAGCGGGGAACTGAGCCTATTGAGCGTGCTGCAGCTGATTCGATATTCCCATGGCATCCCATGGCTATACATGCTACTATATGTACTGTACCATCTTATAGAACGCGTATATGCAATATTATACATGCATACATCACCACCCTCTAAGTGTTGGGATTTCTTTGGGGTGGGTCACGTGCTGGGATCCCAGGTTTGTGCCCCCCCACTCTGCATAGATTAAAACCTATTGTAAAATGTGAGATTCACTGGAGCTGTGCATCCATGAAATTGCGAGGCGAGCTATCACGTGACAGGAATAATTGGGTAGTTACGGATAGTTTTGGTATGTTTGTTACGACCTTGCAGCTGCTGCCCATTGAGAACGACCCAGAGAGCAATAACCTGGTGGACTTGGTTCCAATTCCACCAGCCTGTTTCTTCCTCTTCCTTTTTTTCTTCTTCTCCTTTCCCTTCCCTTGGATGTTCCTCTTTTCTTTCCTTCCTTTAAAGCATAATTTGGTGATCTACTAAAAGCAAGGCATGTCTTTATCGGATCCGCTTCCGCCCAGCGGGCAGAAGAAGCAGCTTGGCCTGTAAAGCAGATTTTCTAGGCTCACATCCGCTTCCGGGGGCTGGATCCGCTTGCCCCAGCGGCCACAAGCCGACATGGCATGGGCAGTATTGTTCTGGAAAACAAAGTGTTTCGCGACTTTTCTACCTTTTCGTGCACCAGATCTTCTTTCTTCTTCTTTCTTCTTTCTTCTTCTTCTTTCTTTCTTCTTCTTCTTCTTCTTCCTTCTTCTTTCTTTTCGCTGACTCTTCCCACCTCTGCTTTTCCATCTGTCCATATTGTCGGAAGTGTGACTTCTAAACTTCCTTCTGCTATACATGCTATAGGTACGTGACATACTATACTTGCTGTATTTACTATATTTATATTGTATGTACTGTGGATATCTGTGGATAGTTTGCATATTATACATTTGAATACTACGTATATACTGTATAAACTATACAGCCACCTCCCTCCCCTATCCCGTTCGTAATTTTCATATTCCATGTGTTCGTCACAGCACCACGACATTTAAGCAAGCATCCCAATGGCCTCCCAAATTCTAGTTACTATTTCCTGTTATTCCCCCAAAAAAGACCATGGGATGATTGGAGACTCATGGCCCAACCCTGGGGTCGCCATAGGACCGAACTTAGATGCAAGAGGACCAGGGTCTGCAGTTTTCCAGGATGCCATTGTCTCAGGCACGAAGAAGGGCTGCTGACCGGACATGGAGGCCACACGGGCAGATGTCACCCAATGTTTGTGATGCGGTTTTGTTTCAAAACATGGGAAGAACAATCGAACACATCAATCCACTGGTTAAGAACCTTTTTTTTCCTATCATTTGATGGTCATACAATGGGAAAAGTTGTGGTGCTCTTGGTACTTCACAAGACCCAGCAGGTGAAGAAGCCATCGCACCAGAGGTGAGGTGAGATTGTGATGACAAGGATGAGTTTGGAAATGGTTTCATTGGTCAGTCAGTTGGGTTTATCGCGCAGCATCTATGTATTATATAAATATAATATATGTGTACAATAAATATCTTATTTTATTTAGGTAGAGAGAGACGCTTTAGTGTACCGTATAACTTTTGTATCTGTATATAGTTAGCTATAATCGATTTGCCAACCATGTACCAACATTTCATTATATAGCATTACCCATGAACTTATATAATTTGCTAACCACTACATCTATTACCCATCTAAGTAACCCCATGGCATGAGTGACCTCCCAGTGGATTGTTTCGAGGCTCCAGAGTTCATCCACCCCGTAGAGGAGGTGACAAGCCTGGCTGGCAGAAACTCATTGTGCTGTTTGTCCATCCAATTACAAAAGAACTATTAGGGTATGGCATTAGCATTTATAATTACAGTATACCATAATATACCATAATTGTGGAATTCCTAATTCTTACATACCATCATTCATGCCATTAGGGATGAAGTATTGGGGACTTAAAATGTGAATCAATGATGGTAACCTGATGGTATGAAAGGGTATTGACGGTCAATTATGGGTTTTGCCTCCATCATTAACTACCACTATTTTGAAATACCTCCTGGTGTTTTCTGACTGGAACCCACGGTTTATGCAGTTATAAATGGTAGCAATGTGAATTCATGATGGTGCTAATCAATGATCATGCTGGTTAATGATTGTTAATAGTGATTAATGACACTGATGGTTAATACCTGGCTAATGTGAATCAATGATGGTGCTAACTAATGATAATTGTTAATACTGGTGGCTAACACTGGTGGCTAATACAGTGGTTAATGCTGGTAAATTAATGATGGTAATTCATGATGGTTAATACTGGTTCATTCCATCCAGTAATGGTGGTAATTAAGGATGGATTGCATTTTTCGGGCGAATTATGTGTTTTTTGTTTTCTGGGATAGGTTTTTGGACGTTTGTTCCCATGTTTTTTTGCGTCTCCCCTGCTTCTTTACTTCTCTGCTTTTCTGTTTCTTTGCCTCTCTGCTTCTCCACTTTTCTGCTTCTCTGTTTTTTCCCCCTTTTTTTGCTTCTCAAACCCCAATAAACCCCACCATAAATCAACCCTAGATAAACTCCAAGCCAACCCCCAAAAAAATTAAAGCGACCCTAAACAAACCATAAATAAATCTGAAACTTGGCCCGAAATAAACCCTAAACCAAAACTAACTAGATCTTAAACCAACCCTGGATAGATCTCTATAGATCTTAAACCAAAGCCATCCCTAAACAAACCCTAAACCAAAACTAATCCGATCCTAAACTAACCCCAAATAGATTTTAAACATGTTTAAACCAAATTTAAATGAAACCTAAACCAACCCTAAACAAACCTAACACCAACTCTTGGAACGATCTTTAAACATATTGTCCGCAACCTTAACGTTCGCCCAGACTCATCATTGTGACATAACAGAGACAATTTTGTGTCGCTGGGAAGTTGCGAATCCAAACAAGGCCAAGGGGGAAAATTAGGCTACGGCGGCATGTGAAAGATACCTTGAATACAGTTCTCTTCATGAGGAAACAATATCACCTGATCATCATGAGGGATCAAAATCCGCCAGCCCCTATGACCAATATTCTGAAAGGGCTAATGACACGCCACCCTCTATGGCCAATATGTTGAATCGGGTAATTACATCAACATTATCTTCATGAGGGAACAAAATTTGCCACCCCCTATGACGAATATGCTGAACGGGCTAAAAACATCAACTTTATCTTCATGAGGGATCAAAATTTGCCACCCCCTCTGAATAATACGTTGATTGCGGGACATCAACTCCGGGCAAACGTCCAGGTTGCAGCGATATTGTCTAATAGATCTTAAACCAAACCCAAATAAAACCTAAACCAACCCTAAACAAATTTCAAACCACCCCTAAATAGATCCTAAACAAACCCTACATACATCTCAAACCAAGTCTACATGAACCCTAAATAAACCCTAAAATAAACACTAAACCAACCCAAAAAAAAACTAAAGCAAACCTAAATCCAACGCCAACAAACGCTAAAACCAACCCTTAAAAAAACAATAAATATATTCCTAAAACCAAAGGGTTGAAAATACCATGCAACATGAACAGTTGGGGCACCAAAATGTTGCAAGTACCACGGAAAATGAAAAGTTCTAACTCCAAGATGTTGCAAATAACGTTGAGTTGAGCCGTTGAAATGGCAGTTTCCTGCAAACAGCAAAGGAAAACGGACAGAACAGGAAATCCAAACAAAATTCCAGAGCGGGAAAAAAAAATCCCAGACAATTCCGGACCCATTAATGTTTCATACTGATTAATCTTAAATCATCCTATGTTTTTCACACCCAACTATTCGAAAAACGATCTCCAACAGATACTCTTGAAAAAGTGATGTAAAACAAATCACTAAAAAGGGACATTTGCCAACCCCTGTTTGTTTCTAGGATTTGTAGGTTCACCGTTCACTACCAAGAAAGCACCTTGAGTTGTTCTTGTTTGATGTAGAAAAAACACACGCAAAACGAGGTGCATGAGTTTTGGAATGTGTTTTTTGTGTACCGGAATATGGAATGGAATCGCAACAATGAAATTATGAAAGCGCCCTAGTGATCCCGTGTGATGTTGTTTCACCCAAATGCCTAGTGTGCTGTCAATTAACTCAGCAGTTCAGTGGTTGGTCGATGTGGATCCTGTCTGATCTGTTTCTGATCTGTTTGGGAAGCGGAACATGATTCGAATCTCGCTGCGATTTGAACACAAGAGAAACGAAGAGATCAAAGAGGAACATTGATAGGACTAATAAATTATCAGTTTATCAGTATAGGCTTCCCAAAAGACTGAGTGTTCCCTGTTGATATTAATATACATATATATATATATTAATGTATCTGAGGTTCCTGGCTACGAAGCAGGCGGGCGCGTGGGCAAGTCATTGTTGTTCTGAAAGAGCCAGCAGCGCCATATGATTCTCAGTGGTTAAGTATGGTTTATGGTAGATATATCAATGATATATCAATGATATGTCTATACTTATGGTAGATATATCAATGATAAATCTCAGTGGTTAAGTATGTTTTCATATCAAACCTCAATAAACCAACTTATAGCTGGGGTTTGAGGTCCAAGTAGTACGTATGATATGAAAACGCTACGCTATCAGCTCCTGGACCGTGCGTTTACCACAGAATCCAAAGGCGTCTGTCAGGGTCACAAAGAACCACCGTTGCACATGGGTTGGAACAATATCTGGTTGGTGGTTTCAAACATTTTTTATTTTCCATAATATATGGGATAATCCTTCCCATTGACTAATATTTTTCATAGGGGTTGAAACCACCAACCAGATATATATATATATATAAATATATATTCATATACACATTGTTACAAGGATTTATTTGAACATCGGATATATTTTAAATACCCAGAAATTTGATGGATAAGCGTCATTAACTTGATTAGAATATATTAACATTGGAAAAACTCAGGGGTAAATTCCCCATTTTCAAACAGCCATTATGAGTCAGCAACAGCACACAAGGTGATGATGGGTTGTGGTTAACAGAGATATCCCCCTAGGATAAACTAACGTAGATGTGGACAATTAAGTATTTTCCAGAGCAAACCAAGGGATTTCCATATCTATGTTAGTTTAATTTAGGGTACCTAACTCAGCACCTTTGATCACCAAACCTGACTCCCATCATCACCAATGGTGATAGTGGTAATATTGTTTATAGTGATCATTCATAATGATCCAACTCACACAAATCATCTAACTCATTATGATCCATCTTTATTACTCATCACAATTTAGATCATAATTCATCATACAATCCGTATAATAATCTAAGAATCCATTGTCATCCAGCATAATCTATCATAATCCATTTGATGGTACACTATCATGTATATTTATATTCTATATATAGTCAAAATATTAATGAACTTTCTGGTAAACATAGACCCGGCCGAATAGGGGTTGGAATATTGTTTGTCATTTAAAATGGTTTATTTTCCAGTTCTATGTTAATTTTCTGGAGGATGAATGCATACACCCTTTGTTGAACCTAGCTATGTAAAATTGCATGTTTTAATAGGTAAATAACCATTAGATTATATTTCTATGGCCCATGGCTTCCATAGCTACTGTTATGTTAGATAAGCAGAGGGTATATCCAGTTACTCAGTTAAGTGGATTTTAACCCATTAAATGCCATCAAATGTCAAATGTTAGATAACCAGAAGGGTAATTTTCCAACTATATGAATATATAGTCCATTTAGTCATAACAATAGTTTATAACTGATATATACAATCCATTTATGATCATTATATATATAATTATATATATATATACACAATAATAATAAATAGTAATAATAATACTAATAATAGGTCATAACAGTAATAACAATAATCCCCGTCAACTCCCATCTCGAGCCTCGAAACTTCGGTGCACCAGGTGATGTGGAGACTCTCTCCGAATTATCGGAAGCGCCCACGGAGAATGTCTCCAGATGCGCAGGCGACACCTGTCGGAGTTGAACAGGAACCAAAATCCACAGGGTCATGGGTTTTCTAATGGGGATTTAGCTTCTTCAACCATCCTTAAATGTTGTTTCTTCAGACACCAAGAGTTGGGATATCCAGAAATGCTGATGGGTTGATGATCGATTGGTTTTTGTGGCGCCATACTACCTGGATCATTGATGATCATTGGGGATTTCCTATTTTTGGACAAGCCCGTATGCGTGTGGGCAAGAAACCCAGAGAAGAAAAGGTGTCTACGCCATTTCACACCAGAAGAATTGGCAAACGGATGAAAAATTATGTACTGTAAATCGACGTTCAACTCACCCGAAATAACAAGAATGGTCCCATAGATCCATGGTAGTGACCATGTGACCCATCCTAGTTGACATCATGCATAGCTGTTGGTTGTCGATTTTGGTCGGGCCATCCAGGGAAAATGTTCAGTGACTTTGCTATTGCAGGGAAGTAATGTGTATAAAGAAGGGGACCCACTAGAGAATGTCCTATTTTAATCTACTTTACATCTTTTCATCACATCTCAATGAAAAACAATTTCATCACATGCTGTTTGGCTAAATCATGCAGGTCATTGTAGAGTCTCCTGAATTTCCAACTGGCGCGCCAGGAGAAATCCCATCGCAGTCTAGGAGCCGCTGGCCGATTTCCCAGCGTCCAACGTGTAAAATGCTGGAAGTTTGGGATGACTTGGGAGGATGTGCCTCAGAACACTCATTTTGGAGATTGAAGATGAAACGTGGCATGATTTTCCATGGAGATTTTGCAAAGGATTTTTGAGGTGGGAAGCTGCATGTACTTGATCCGGCCAGTTTCTTTGACTGTTCCCAAAGAAAACGATCGATCTTTCCACCCTGAAATGGGCCAATTGGACAGAATATAGGCAGGAACAACCAGGCATCATCAGATATCAGGCGTTCCCCTGCAAAGGTTGGCAGTTGTAGATGCTTGGTATATTTTCATGTAGTTTCTATGTCAACTGAGGAATGGATTCTGTTTGAACTCCCCGTTGTTGTTGCTTTCATCCCCATGTTTTGTCCGGAGTTCCGTCAACGCAACGCCTAGGAAACCTGACATGGCTCTGTTCTATCCCTTGTTGCGCTTGAAGCAGCGGCAGAGTCGATGTGAGGCTGCCCCGAGGAAAATCTGGGAAACCCAGTATAAATGGAGGTTTCGTTCGCTGGAAAATCCGGGAATTCCATAGATTACCCTGGGGAGGACGTTTATATACATAGATGTGGCAAACCCGTCATTTGTAGATTATTTTCCAAACGGGGCAGTATGGTTGTTCCACATCTTTTGTATGTTTACACCAGCGTAATTATGTTCTGAATGATATGGAGAATTCCCGGTCAGGCGCCAAAAAGAAGATGTTTATGTTGTTTATTCATCCCGTTGGTACATCTCCAATTAATGTTAATTCAGAGTTGCCACTGTTTTTTAATTGGAATCAGCAGTATTCCACTCGTACCTGGGTCACTGAAACATAAAACCCTGACACCCATCCGAAACCTGCATGTCAGGTGCTTCAACTCTGACCCACACCCATATGGGTATCAAATTCCAGTGGCGTATCATGATTGTCCTTTAAAAGTGCCATAACTTGGCGGTGTATACTACCCCATTTTCAGATACAGCTATATGTGGCAACCAGGGCAACTTGGTTGGTGAAATCCAGACTGAGACGGAAAAGCCCACAGGCGACGTTCAATCTCCTGAACAACTTGATGGGAGCAGGCGGAGTCTGTGTGTGGCTGGGCCGTCGAAATTGCAACAAGATGGTTTTTTTCAAGAAGTATACATACTGTACAGTGATTTCAGTCTTTCTTTATTTCTGTTTTTCTGTCTTTCTTTCTTTATTTATTTATTTCTGTCGTTATTTCTTTATTTATTTATGTCTTTCTTTATTTCTCTTTCTTTATTTATTTCTGTCTTTCTGTATTTTTTTTTATTTGTTTCTTTCTACCGTTCTGTCTCTTTCTTTCTTTCCCCCGTTCTTTCTTTTTTCTTTCTTTATTTATTTGGTTTTCTTTCTTTGCGTCTTTCTTTATTTATTTGGTGTGTCTCTGTTTTTTTCTTTATGTCTTGTTTTGTTTCTTTGTTTCTTTCTTCCGTTGTTATTTATCTATTTATGTTGTTCTAGTTCTTTCTTTCTATTTTTATTCCCTCATTAATTTCTTTATTTATGTGTTTGTCCGTTCCTTGTTTCTTTGTGTTTTTCTTTCTTCCTTCCTTTCTTTCGTGCTCTCTTTCTTTCTTATCCACCATTCTACTTATCTACCTATCTACCTATCTACCCATCCATCCATCCATCTATCCATCCATCTATCCATCTAATTATCCATCTATCTATTTGTCCACCTATCCATCTACCCATCTATCGATCTATCGATCTATCCATCCATCTATCTATCTATCTATCTATCCATTTTCCATCTTTCCATCTATCCATCTATCCATCTTTTATGTTTTCCATATTTCCATATTTCCATCGTTCCATCTTTCCAAGTTTCCATCTATCCATCCATCCATCCATCTATCTATCCATCTATCCCTCTATCCACCTATGTATCTATCTACCGAACTACCTATCTATCTACCTATCTATCTATCTATCTATCCATCTATCCATCTATCCACCTATCCATCTATCCATCTATCCATCCATCGATCCATCCATCTACCTATGCATCTATCCATCTATCCCTCTATCCACCTATCTATCTATCTACCTATCTACCTATCTATTTACCCATCTATCTATCTACCTATCTATTTATTTATCGAGCAATTATCATTATTGTTTTCCATTATTAAGTGTTACTATTGTTAGTAACTATTTTTATATTTAGATAATGGTAGTATATATATATATATATAATAATGTGATATAATGGTACTAAGTATGTTTACTGTTATATTTATTACTGTTATATTACTGTTATAAGTGTACTAGCAGTAATATATGATGGTTGATTGTCTTTAAAAGGCCATGACCCCCGCTCCAGGATTGCTGACCATGCCCCGAGCCATGGCCGATGCCGGCCTGATCTCAGGGCTGGCCTTGATGGGTTGGGCTGCCTGGAAAATCTACATGGTTTTGGTCGGTGAAAATGGGAAAAAACCCTCAAGTGATCTGACATTTTTATAGGGAAAATATGAGAAGATAGATAGATAGATATATATATATATATACATATATATATTATATATATATATATAATTATATATATATATATCAAAATATAGTGATAAGCCGATTTTGACGTACCATATTGCCAGACAAACTCTTGTAACGACATGTAACGACCAAAAAGATCAAAAAGGCTAAATCATCCTAAATCTGTCTCACGATTCTGGAGTTTGCACTATTTTACTTGGATTTCGCGAAACTCCATTTTTTTCGGGGGATGGTGCCAGATAGAATGTCAAAATATATGCCAGAAAGTATGTCAGAATAGATGCCAGATAGAATGCCGGAAGGAATGTCAGACAGAATGTCAGGGTATATGCCAGAAAGAATGTCAGATAGAATGTCAGAATATTTATACATATACTTCCAGACGGTAGGTCAGAAACTATATCAGAATTGTGTGTGTTAGGGCGGGGATCACTCGAAGTAAAATATGTTTTTTCGTGGCAAATCTCTGTGCAATGAGGCATTTTGGCACTGGCCAATCGCTACACGATGCTTCAGGCAAGGTTGTTGCTACGATCATGCCATGATTTTGAGTGACTGACTCAGCATCTGATTCCTATCCGACCTATCCTGCTATGCGGAGGTTCTTTGGATGAGTTTGGGAACTCAGTCCGCAGGGCTGGCCTTGAGTGTCTCTCTATGTCCCTCTCTACGCCCAGGTCATTCGGTGTTAAGCTCTGAAGAGTGCTCGTACCCGGAGCTGGGCAGGCGTCTGGATGTATGAGATGTATGGCTACATTTTGTAAGAAACGCGGGAGAACTGACTGATAGACACAGAACTATATGATTTTTGAATACTGTATTTTAGAATTTAGCATATGTGTCTTGTTACCACATTCCATGCTTAGGATTATTTTGATGGTTTCTCAACCATCTCAGGCAAAAACTCATTGATCATATCCGGTGCGTTGGACTTGGTCTTGATTGCTCGGAACAGTGGTTATCAGTTGATTCCATTTCTGTCCAATGCCGTTTTTTTTAATGTTTTTTTGACCTTGTTTGGGAAGGACTATTCAATGATAAGGGGCTGATGGTACTGGTACTTCTGAGCAGATATCGCGCATATGTGGAACTTCCGTGGGGATTTCAAATCTTGTTCCTGTCTCCTTTGCTCAGACATGTCTTTGGGCAAAAGGGCCTGGCAGCAGTCCTCCACTTAGCCCAATTTGGCCAGCGAGTACCACTAGATGCCGAGGAAGTCTGCTTCTGGATGAAACCATGACCAGGAAGGACCAGTGCAAGCTCTTTTTTCCAATAGAATCATGAAGATCGAACTCCATGGCTTTCATCTTGGTGAGAGAGGTAGTTCAAACAGTGAAATCAACACAAAAAAAACAGTTTTGGATAGGGAGAGCCGCTCGAGCCACAGCTTGAATTTGTTGATTCCTAGGTCTTGGCCGCCTATTTGTTACTGACTTTGGGCATTCTGTCCTCGTACCTCATGGTCATTGTGGCCTGGGCCTGGGACACCGTGGATCATCCAGTCGTGGATGACCATGACGCCTCGTATTGAAAGCCATGGTGACCTGGGATCCCTCATTTTAGATTTTTAGGAAATAAATAAATAAATATATAATAATATAAGATATATATATAATATATATATATACATTATATATTACATCTCCATAGAAATGTTGAATTTCTGCTATTTGGTCCATTGGATTCCATTTGTTATGAAGATGTTCGCGTTGTGTTGATGATTTTGGGCTGCGGAGAACATGGGGGAACACTGGGAAGCCTTTTTTGAGATACCAAGGACCTTCTGAATCTGGCAATTCCTGGCTACCGCTTGCTGCATGCCAGGAGCCCTGAGATATCCTGATATATATATATAATATATATATTTATATATATATATCTCCGTGCACTATATGTTGGGCCCTCCCCCCTCCCACTAACAGTCCAAAAACGGTTTTCCTTTCACTACTTTCCAAAAGTAGCACCAGAACCCCAATAGCAAAACCTACATTCAAATACATGTTTTTTCTAATCCAAACCTTGGTGAGCACGAATTTCATGGGAGAACCCTTCAAACCCAGTAGGCTGTCCTCCTTGTCCATCATTCCCCATGTTGAGATGCAGAGTTTCCCTGTAGCCTTGTCTTATGCGACATCTGGACTCACAGTGCAGTCGTTGCAGTAGAGACACCGAAGAGTATAGACTATATGGATGTTTCCGAGGGGGATGCCCATAAGATGGCAATTTACTGGGGAAAATGATGGTCAAGCATGATCAAGCAACAAATTTGAAGGGTGTCCCTTTCATTTTCAGACAATCCCATCATGTGGCAGTGAGGTCAAGCATAGATTGGCCCTCTGAGGTGTTGCTGGCAGCGTTGCTATGTTTGCCGGGAGCAATGTTGAGGCAGAGGAAGCATCAGTTCTGGAGAGGTCAATGGCCCATTTGATTTATAGCAACCCCCCAGTCATAGACAGAAAAGTTGGACACCTGGAAGTAATGGAGGAGACAGGAAAGATCAGGAAAGCATCGTCTATCTTTTTGAACACCTACCACCATTAGTAGGGAAATATTCCAACCAGTTAAAAAATTCAACGGCCATTTTTTGGGGGGGCAGTGGATCTAAGATTGGCCATGGCAGCAGGGATTGACTTGGCAATGACAACTCATTTGACGACCTCACTGCGACGTCACTGGAATGATGAAGGGAATGATTCTAATCACAGGAGTCTTCCTCAAGTAGCCTTATATATATATCAGGTCAGTAGATTAGTCGAAGTTATCCAGAAGTTGCCACAATTGTATTCTTGCCGCCAAATTCTAGGACTCAATCACGGTTGAATGGTTGAATCGTTGCTTCCATGTGAAAACCTGTTGCCAGGTTTGGAAAAGCCATGTTCGAACCCTTCTCAAGTGCAGAACACCTCACGAACTTTGACAAACTTTGACTGTTTGTACAAAATATTATATATTATACATATATATATATTTAATCAAATCGTATCAAATCTAACCTTCCCAATTTATCATAGTCTATCAAGCGCATGTGTTTCATGCCTTGATCGCAGCGGTTTCCATTCGTGGCTCCAGGTCGCTGAAACAGGTGGCCCTCGTGAGCGTCATTTGCATGTTAGGCCGCCGGGACGGCCATGGCCAGTATGGCCACATTTATGGCCTGCCCTAAAACTCTAAAACAAGTTATGTAATGTTTAAAATGTTTAAATAGAGGAGTGATGCCTTTTTTTTCGAAATATGCGAGGTCATCAGAAGTGTTTGAAACTGCTCGATGGAGAGTCGAAAGTCTGGCGTCCATCCTATGGGCACTTTTGTGTTTGGGCATTTTGGGCTCTTCGAAACCGCGTTCAAACCACATTAAACAGGAGCCTGGCCCAGCTTAAGATATCGTTCGGACATCTTAAGAATTCAATCAAGACTTCTTGAGAAGTCTGGAAAAGTTGGAAAATGGCATCAACTGGTTATAATCTCTAGTAACCTGACATTTCCATGGAAAGTCCACATGTTTTCATGGGAATGGCATCAATGATCATCAATGGCGTCCATGATGTAAATGGTTGATCCAACATTTTGGAGGGTGACTGCAGGAGTGTGCAGCTTGGTGGCAAGGATCTCAGCAGATTTAATGGACTGTCATGGATCTGTCTATGGACTGTTTGACTGGATTTTTTGATTTTGACGTGTATTTTTTTAGTGAATATGGAAGTTCCAAACGAGAGCTTCAGTTGATTTTGAATGGCATCTCGGTAGAATCTCTATGAATTTCAAAGGAGGATTTTGGAACGTCCAGAATGTCCAGAATGGTGTTCAAGTTGTGTCACAATTTCTTGATGATATCCCCAAAAAATATCCCCATGGTATCCTCATTGCATCCCTGTTTTGGTGGTCAAAAATGGTGGAATTCATCTGCAAAAATTCCCATCCTACGGATGGATGACCATAAACCATTAATCATAGTAAGTTCCTTCAAAGAGACCTTATATTGCCATTACTTATACAGTTTTATCCATGTTTTATCCATCTTTATCCCATTATTCCCTACCCTTTATGATTGATAAAGATGGATTTCTAACGGTATAAGTAATGGCAATATTGTATTACGGTAATAAAATATATTGACAACCATTATCAATTGTCAATATGATTTGATCTACCCTTTATCCCACTGATGGATTATCCCATGTCACCGAGGTGGTTTTGACCGCGGTGTCTGTGAGTCCCGCGGCTGAACGGAGGAAAATCACCAGCAAAATGTGTTTTTTTGAAGATCTACTCCCCTGAAATGGTGATACCAAAGAAAATATGGAGATGTCAAATGATTTACACAACATCACAGCAAAAGTGGTGATGTTCCTACACACAATGAGGAATTTCATGAAGAAAGTGCAGAGTAAGTGGATCAAGCACAGGGCATTTGAGCTGTACGATGTTCATGATATGTCCAAAAATTGCACACTGCGCAAAATCAAGCAGAACTCTCTATATATTGGGACTGGTTCACAGACAATTTCTTTCAAACGTCAACTGAGGTGACGTTTTATCCGAAAAGTTGGTGAATGCACCCATAGAAACTCGTGGACGGCCAGGAGATCCTTTCTGGTGAATCTGTGGTCAAAGTTGGGTACCCAAAATATGGTTCAGCAGAGAAACACAGCAGTGGAATATCCTTAGTGCTGATAAGAACACCATGAAATCATCAATTTTTTGGTGAATTCTCCAGGGTGCCATGGCAAGGAGTGCGAGACCTGCCAGGCAGCAATGACGGATCATGGATGATTTTAGTCAGGTGTTGGTCACGTTGAGCTGAATTTGGATTACAGTAGATTGATTGGATCATGAAAACATCTTCAAACCATCTTAAAGCGGAAGTGTTGGTACTAAATTTTGAACCTGTCATGGTTTTTGTCCCTGGGTTTCTTTCCTCCCATTCCTCCGATCCTCACAACGGCACCTTAGGGTCTCCAGACTGGCCATGCATATCCCATAGATATCCCATAAACATCCAATTGTAAAGCATAATTCCCCCTCAAACACCTAATAAAATATCATAAACACATATAAGCACAGTATCCATAAATTGGAGAATCTAAATTAAACATATTCATTACCGTTTTAGTATCCATCAGTTTCTCTTAAGCGAACATCGACCCAGGAGATGTGGACCTGTTCCGTGGAGACATTGGACGATTCTTCTCAGGTGCACAGCTGGAAATCAGCTCTAGACGCGATGCAATTCTGGGAAAAGGTTGCTGAATTCCAGCAGTGTCTCATTATGTCATACTATATTTCCCATGTTTCAGTCTGGAATTCAGAATAGTATGATAGTTGCCAACTATATAGTAGTATAACATACAGTAGTATAACTACATGACATGGAGCACGGCCCTTAGATGGCCGTGTGTTTTTTTGATTCATGGGATGTTGCCGATGATATTGGATGTGCTCGTGCCAGTAGGATTGTGTTTTATTTTTGTGTAAAGGCTGTCAACGCCTTATTTACAGGCAGCAGAATCAAAAGAGCTATTTCGCCTACACGAAACCTGCATTTTTGTGGATTCTTCACGGCCCGCAACTATTTGGTTTCCACACTTTTTCAGCCGTCTTGTGTTCACAGCAGCGCTTCAAGTTCCTCCAAGAATTTTTTAGGATCTACTTCAGGTGCAAGTTCACATGAACCTGCATACATGCCCCAACCGACAGCCACAGCGTAACATCTACTTCATGTGCAAGTTCACATGAACGATCATGAACGTGAATACATGCCCCAACCGACAGCCACAGCGTAGCATCTACTTCATGCGCAAGATCACATGAACGATCATGAACGTGAATACATGCCCCAACCGACAGCCACAGCGTAGCATCTGCTTCACGTAAAAGTTCACATGAACGTGAATACATGCCCCCCACACCCACAGCGTAACGTCTACTTCATGTGCAAGTAAACATGAACGTGAATACATGCCCCAACTGACAGCCACAGCGTAGCATCTACTTCATGTGCAGGTTCACATGAGCGTGAATACATGCCCCAACTGACCTCACAGCGTAGCATCTATTTCATGTGCAAGTTCACACGCACGCGAATACATGCCTCACCCCACCCCACACCCACAGCGTAGCATCTACTTCATGTGCAAGTTCACGTGAAAGATCATGAACGTGAATACATGCCCCAACTGACAGCCACAGCTTAGCATCTACTTCATGTGCGGGTTCACATGAGCGTGAGTACATGCCCCCCACACCCACAGCGTAGCGTCTACTTAGTCTACTTCATGTGCAAGTTCACATGTGAACGATCATGAACGTGAATACATGCCCCGACCGACAGCCACAGCTTAACATCTACTTCATGCGCGAGTTCACATGAACGACCATGAACGTGAATACATGCCCAAACCGACAGTCACAGCGTAGCATCTACTTCATGCGCAATTTCACATGAACGATCATGAACGTGAATACATGCCCCAACCGACAGCCACAGCGTAGCATCTACTTCATGCGCAAGTTCACATGAGCGTGAACACATACCCCACCCCACCCCAACAAAACACCATGGCCGTCGAAGGGCCGTGGTCCAACTACATTTTTCACAATATATATGAACGCTATTAGAATAGTTGCCATGGTTTGGGTTTCCCCCATTGCTGCCAGGTGCGGCCCTCTTTTCTCTCCAGTTCTCAGTGCAAGCCGGGGGGATTGAGGCGATGGATCTTCCGTTTTTGGGGTAACCCTTAAGTCACCATGGCTTTCCATACAAAGTCATGGTCTAATTATGAGTCTAATTCATGACGACTGGATGATTTATGATGATTTGCGGTAGGCCTATTTTTATCTATTTTTCGGAAAAAAAAACATGTGTTTTGCTATGGATCATCCTATCTGAGGTCCTTTCTAAACGAGGTGAATCCATATGTTTCAGGGAAATCCTTCAAGTTACAGACATCCTTTGGTAACCTGGCGCGCCGCTGGTAAATCCCCCTAGCTATGGAGCGCTGGGAGATCCATAGATTACTTTGTGGAAAACGTTTAGATGTGGAATCACCTATATTTAGTAGATCATTTTCTGAACGGGAAACCGGGGGTTTGCCAATCTATGTTAGTGTGCCCTTGGGTCTGGTGTCATCTAATGTTGCTGGAAAATCCCCTTTTCCGGAGGGATCCGGAGGGTAAAAGACGTTAATCTACCATGTGGCAATTTATTGCATAGCTATGGAAGATCAGACTGGAGAAATATCTTGTAATAATAGGTAAATCATCAAACTCAATGGGCCATGGATTCCATAGCTATGTTAAAAATTGCTGATGCTTACTGTACTAACACTGCATGTTCAATGAGAAAAACAAAATCCTGTCCGAATTTGGAATATTTGTTTTCTTGCAGACGTGACAAAACCATATTTCTTGGAGGTTCTGGTGTTCATCATCGTTTTTTTTTCTCTTGATGGACGGTTTGGCATGATTCAAGGTCCAAGCGCGATGAACTCCCAGTAATAGATAGGATAGTTGTATAGACATGTTTAATCACTATTAAACCCAGTTAACTATAGTTATTCGAAGGAAGTTTAGATGCCAAACTTCGGACAATATGGACAGATGGAAAAACAGAGGTGGGAAGAGTCAGAGAAGAGAAGAGCAGAAAAGAGAAGATCAGAGAGGAGAAAGAGTGAGAAGAAAGAAGAGGCAGGTGCGCGAAAAGGTAGCAAAGTCGCGAAACACTGTGTTTTTCCAATGATTTGTGGCTCCGGAGGGTCGAACAGTAGGCTCGCTAAAGCGGCGAGTGCGGAGCCATCTGGCCAGATGAGAGATGAAAAATTGCACGCTGTTGTGGCGCGAAGCACATTTCGAAGCCAAAATGTGCAAAACACACCAGGTTCGGACCACTTTTGGAAGTTGACATGTCGAAAAAGTGCACGCGGTTGTGGCACGAAGCACATTTGCAAGTGAAAAAGCTAAAATCACCTCACGTTCGGAGCACTTTTGGAAGTTGAGAGGATGAAAAAGCGCACGCCGTTGTGGCGCAAAGCAGATTTCCAAGTCAAAATGTACAAAACACCTCAGTGTCGGACCTTTTTTGGAGGTTCAGATGTTGAAAAAGTGCACGCCGTTGTGGCGCGAAGCACATTTCCAAGTCAAAATATGCAAAGCACACCAGGGTCGGAGCACTTTTGGAAGTTGACATGTCGAAAAAGTGCACGCCGTTGTGGTGCGAAGCACATTTCCAAGTCAAAATGTTCAAAACGCCACATGTTCGGACCATTTTTGGACGTTCAGATGTCGTTTCGCGTGGCATGCGCAAGGGATTGTGCACCTTGTCAAAAGTAAGCAAAACGTGAGGGCAGTTTCAACATGTTTCAACTACAACCACCACTACACTCCACTCTACTTCACTCCACTACACTTCACCTACAACTACAACTACAACTACAACTACACTAACTACATTACACTACAGTACACTGCACTAATTACACTACACTACAACTACAACTACAACTACAACCACAACTACACTACACTAACTACACTACACTCCACTTCACTTCACTACACCACACTACACTCAATTACACTACACTATAACTACAACTAGATTACACTACACTACACTAATTGCATTACACTACACTACACAAACTACAACGACAACGACAACTACAACTACAACTACACTACATTAGGCTACACTACACTCCACTACGCTACACTACACTCCACTACACCACACTACATCACACCACACGAATCCACACGACACTACACTACATTAGACTAGACTAGACTAGACTACACTACACTACAGCACGCAACACTACAGCACACTACACTACACTACATTACATTGCACTAAGCTCATTACACCACACCACAACTACAACGGCAACTGCACCACACTAAGCACACTACACTACAACTCGAACTACAGCTGCACTACCCCACACTACATCCAGCAGTTGTGGGTGAGGCGACCACTGCAACCATTGCAGCCACTCCAAACAACACAACTCCAACCACCTTTCGGCCCATCAGCAGATTCGCGGTGCCATCCGTGATTCAAAACAAGCAACCTCTCCTATAGGTTTCCTATTTTTGAAACTTCCGCCACCGCCTTGCGCGGTACTACTGGTATGAGGTAAATACAGTATATGTAAAATGATGTAGAATGTCCAGTATCGGCCCATGTCCCAGATGATGCACTCGTCAGTTGCTCTGGCTGGCAGGTCCTAAGCCGACTGGATTCGGAACAGGAGCGCCAGGATCAACAGGAGAGATTGGGGGGATGGGGTATTGATCCATTGTTCGAAGTATTTGTTTGCCTCCTAGAAACCCTGGTCTAGTTTTGGATCTATTCACTTTCAAGTCCTATATTTGGGGGTATTGAATATCTTTCAATGTGGGGTATGGGATTATGAGCATATTTTCCATCAAGAGGGATATTCACCAACAAGAAGGTTGGAGGGTCCAGTAGATCGAATCAATCTATGAAAGTTGGATCATGAGCAATCATGATCATCCTGTTCTAGTGGGATCCAACAAACCCCACCATTTCCAGGGCTATGGGCATTTGGTAGCCGCACTTCAGAGACATGATGTGTCCAAATGCAAAGTATGGTTTTCGAAGACAAGGGGAACTAAGACATGCACCTGCTACCTCCAGTAATCCAAGATGGAAATGCAACATCCATGGAAATCCCCTCAAGTGGCAAAATGTTGCAAAATATGGCAAAAAAGTGGCAAAATCATCTTAACATTGTTTTGTTTGAAAACAGGGTACCCTCAAAGAACATGTTTTTTGGTTTATCATAAATTATCCCATCTATGAATGGTAATTTTGGGGTATAACCCATCTTTGGACAAACCCAAATGGAGTATTTTCATTGACAGGGTGCCAGGTCGCACTTGCAGGAGCCTGCAGGTTCCATGAACTCGTTGATGGCAGCTGAAGCCATCACTGAGGCAATGCCAAGTTCATGGATTTTTCCGATGTTCAGTTGATGTTAAGAAAATGTGTTGATGTTTTAGGATGTTAAAATTGTGTGAAAACGCAGTATTTGATGTTATTAATATTTATTAACGATAGTTCGAGCCAGTTGTCACATGAACAGAAACAAACCTTGATTTGGCGGGTCTCCGCCCGGTTGATCTGCAGGTTGCCTACACCATTGCGTTGCTGCTGTCTGCGGTTCTTGGGACGGTGAAGCACCTAGCAACCAGTCCTGTGCCTGGGTACATTGGGATTCCGGCAGGATGCCAAATATATCTTTTAGATTCATGTTTTTCCTTGTAAGATACTTGAGAAAATAACATCATATAACATCATATTGATGACTGATATTATGGCCTAACGTTTAATTTGATCTCGGTAAATTTGGGCCTTTAGCTGTGCTCTATGGCAAGTCAAAAAGGTGAGTTGGCTCAACCTGCAACCATTTGTTGACCCCAGGCGGCTTATCTCCGCTTCGGGGACCGCGTGGCTGGCAATGTCTTGCTGGACTTCAGCCCCAGCACTTCGTGACTTGTGGATTCTGGATGGCTTGATGCAGATGACTGAGGTTGAACCACCAAAAACCCTGGGAATTGCGAACCTGCATGAGGTTTAATGATATAGTATGTATTTAATATTTAATATGTCATATACAAAGCTGTATGTAACTGGTTCATGGTTTGAAATAATCTTTGATGGTTCATCCAACAAATAGGTCGGTGATGCCCATGGACGGTACTGCGCTACGGACCTGGCACTGTAGGTACTGGCCATTGATGATTTCCTGGGGATCCTATGGCTTCGTCACTGGGACGACATGGCAGCAGTTGAGTTTTTCTGGGGTTCCTGCTTCCCAAGCCAGAGCATCCATGAACCCAGATGTTGTCAGCCAAGGTGGTTTTGTGTTCGTTTGCCTTCATCATTGTTCCTTGCAGACTAGCTGCCCTTGATGTTTTCGCCTTGCGTCGATGGCTCAGCTTGGATAGAGATCAGGGAAGTAGAGATGGCATCTTGGGAATGTTGTAATGTCCTCCAAATCTTCAAATGAATCAAATGAGGAATAGTTGTGTAAAAAAGAACAGTGTTGTGTCTATGTGTTTCTTATCATAGGAATCTGACACATCAAAGAAATATGTTTTATGGTGAATATGTTATATAGGTTGTTGTAGATACTACATTGATGTAGATGTATAATAATATATATATAATTATATATATATCTCTCTCACCTGCAAATATAATATACACAAATATTATCCACATGCATCATTATGTAAATTTATATCATCGGAAAGAGGCAACAAATAAGTGGTGTACCCATGAAATCAGCATCTTCAAGCTGATACAACCCCGATGTCCAAACTGAACCCCTGAGGTCGAAGGGACTCTGGTGCCAGTCACGACTCCTTGCCCAAGGACCGCTGTGAAAATGATCGACGGGATGTTCGATAGCTATGGCAGCTATGGGCTACGTTAGTCTAGAGGGGGATCAACAAAATATTGACTTTGCTTCAAGAAGAATGGAGGATTGACCCCTGAAACGAATTTAGGATAGCTTAGGGGGCCAGTTGGATGTGAAAAGAGGGGTAGCAGCATAATGAACTCTAGAGAAATGGATACGTCTGCATCAACAATAGGATAGTAGGGAGGTATAAGCAAAGATAGTTTGGATATTTAAGTTACTCTTAGCTGCAGCTTTTACAAGCAACGGTTAATGGGTATGGAAACATTGTTCGTCTAATGATGGCGTGGCTGCCTAAACATACCCCACGGGACCGCCTCAGTTTTACTTATTCTAAGTGGTGCCAGTTCCTTTGTTCCAGACTTGGCCAGTCGGAGAATATACGGAAATGATCGGAAATGCCCCAAGAAAAACAGGAAATCCCTTTAGTTGACAGCAAACATCAAGGTTTGCATCGCGGTTTACCATGGTTTGCTGTAAATTTCCACCCAATCCACTGGCGCGTCAGGAGCATTTCTACTCCTTGACTGCTGCAATCTTCAGCATTTGCCACTTGGCACTGGGACGAAGTTAGGAAAATTTAGGAACCTATGAAAAAAAAGGGTCAAAACATGGTCTGTTTTCCCAAAAAAAAAGTCATCCAGCCATTCATAGGCGCTTTTTCAGGAGTCCCAAGTCATGGAGTTTCTGAAGTCATGGATCCCGAGTCGTCACCATGGTTGTTTCAATACGAGGCGTCGTGGTCATCCATGACCACTGGATGATTTGAGGACCCCCTATGACTTAGGAAACCTCCATAATATGGAAAAAAAACGTTCTATTCAATACGTAAAGTGTTGCTGATAGAAACACATTATATAATTACCCAAATGGTCCCATTATAGTGGGAATGTTAATAAATAATCACTATCCCATGAATATCTCATTAATGATGCTGCTACAAGAATGTTGAATTGATGCTGCTACAGTCACCTTAAAAACCAGGTGGCTCTGTCGCTTGGCTCGTGACGGATCTGTCAGAAGTCCTGAAATTCGTGGGAGTTCTGAGCCTCAGATCCTGGATGGATTCTGGATCCAGTCGGGGAAAAATCGGATGATCTTTGGGGATGTACCCTTTGGCTATTTAACATAGCCATGGTATAGATGGCCCATTTATAGATGGTTTACCTATTAAAAATGGTGATGTTCCATGGCCATGTTAAATAACCATGTTTTAAATTAATAGCAGCATATAGGAGCTAAAGGATTTAATATGATTTAATGATGTTTAAATCTTAAGTTTGGGCAACATGGAGACAGGCGCTTGTTTTGATGCTGATTTGTTGGGGAGTGTTAACCATTGTAAAGGGACGAGGGCTTCGAGGCTCATCTTGATCCCAGATTTTGCAAAACACCGTGTTTCATTGGGAGCATTGCTGTGCAGATGAACTCACGTCACAATAGTCCAGGGTGGCCAACATTGGCCAACCCTATCAATCAGAGAAAGTAAATCTGAATCCACAGATGACGACTAGTCTTATTAATTACTCTCCGAGTCTCAGGGATCTGCTGATTACCACCAGGCCAGTTGCTGGTGAAAGAAAATCGAGATGTTTCCGGGACCCTTTTTCTGGTCTTCTTGGTTATTGTGGCAGCATGTGGAACGTATGTTCTTTTGTGTTCACGTTCGACCCATGCTTTTCTTCCAGTGCAGCTTGGTCAATGACCACAGACTCAGGTTTGGGCCACCATGGTAGATCCCTCAGGGTGAATCAGGATGCCATTTCCCTCATTTGGTGCTTTGTCACATGCAGTCCTGGGGTAGGGCGTTGAAAGATCCGGAAAACTCATTCCCAAGGCTCTGGCTTTTATCTTGCCATGCTCGTTTCTCATTGAGCTTCGGCGTCGGCAGGAGTGCGCAGTCATGTGATTTGTGGGATGTGGTTCATGCTGATGCGATAGCCTCTGTTGGTATCATTTGATATATATATATATATACAATTATATACAGTATATATATACTGGTACATATATATATATATGTATATATATATATATGTATATATATATATTGTGTAGAGTTGTGATGGGATTCTTGGCTGCTGTGTTTGTGCAGCTTCGGATGTTGTATAATAATCAGTATGTCACAGTGTTTTTCTTCAGCATGATGTCTCTGGCTTTGCTTCCAGGAAGGAGTGCCTGGTGCTTGAACTCGCCGAGTTGTGTCTTTTCATACTGTTATCCTCGATCCCTTTGAGGTTGATTCAATAAACCACCCAACACACAATTTTAAAACATATCAAAGTAATTATGTTAAAACTATTGATCCTTTGACTCATTGCTTTGAGTGAACTGATTTAGAGCTTGGTAATGACGAAAATCGGATGAGCAAAAGGCAAAGAGCAAGTTCAAGTGATTTGTTTTGGAATAGATATGTCTTGCCTTTCAGATTCTTCCCCTTGCATCCCTTGCAATTGTTTCCCTTGGGGGTGGCCCCAGGTGGCCCAACCAGGGAAGCCTTCACCGAACTTAGGTCATGGTTCTCTTCAGCGAATTGGCTGGAGCTCCTGCTGATTGCATTTGGCCGGGGAGCCAAGGAGCCAAAATTCGACCGAAAAGATGGGGATTCTGGATGAATCACTGTAATTAATGGATTATGGACAGATTGTGGATGGATTGTGGATGGATTGTGGATGGATTGTGGATGGATTGTGGACAGATTGTGGATGGATTGTGGATGGATTGTGGATGGATTGTGGATGGATTGTGGATGGATTATGGATGGATTGTGGATGGATTGTGGACAGATTGTGGATGGATTGGATGGATTGTGGATGGATGTGGATGGATTGTGGATGGATTGTGGATGGATTGTGGATGGATTGTGGGCAGATTGTGGATGGATTGTGGGATGGATTGTGGATGGATTGTGGATGGATTGTGGATGGATTGTGGATGGATTGTGGGATGGGATTGTGGATGGATTGTGGATGGATTGTGGATGGATTGTGGATGGATGTGATGGATGGATTATGGATGGAGATTGTGGATGGATTGTGGACAGGATTGTGGAGGATTGTGGATGGATTGTGGATGGATTGTGGATGGATTGTGGATGGATTGTGGATGGATTGTGGAATGGATTGTGGATGGATTGTGGATGGATTGTGGATGGATTGTGGATGATTGTGGATGGATTGTGGATGGATGGTGGATGGGATTGTGGACAATGTGGACAGATTGAGGGACAGATTGTGGATGGATTGTGGACAGATTGTGGATGGATTGTGGATGGATTGTGGATGGATTGTGGATGGATTGTGGATGGATTGTGGACAGATTGTGGATGGATTGTGGACAGATTGTGGATGGATTGTGGATGGATTGTGGATGGATTGTGGATGGATTGTGGATGGATTGTGGACAGATTGTGGACAGATTGTGGATGGATTGTGGATGGATTGTGGATGGATTGTGGATGGATTGTGGATGGATTGTGGGCAGATTGTGGATGGATTGTGGACAGATTGTGGATGGATTGTGGATGGATTGTGGATGGATTGTGGATGGATTGTGGATGGATTGTGGATGGATTGTGGATGGATTATGGATGGATTGTGGATGCATTGTGGATGGATTGTGGATGGATTGTGGATGGATTGTGGATGGATTGTGGATGGATTGTGGATGGATTGTGGATGGATTGTGGATGGATTGTGGATGGATTATGGATGGATTGTGGATGGATTGTGGATGGATTATGGACAGATTGTGGATGGATTGTGGATGGATTATGGATGGATTGTGGGTGGATTGTGGATGGATTGTGGATGGATTGTGGATGGATTGTGGATGGATTATGGATGGATTGTGGATGGATTGTGGATGGATTGTGGATGGATTATGGACAGATTGTGGATGGATTGTGGATGGATTGTGGATGGATTGTGGATGGATTGTGGATGGATTGTGGATGGATTGTGGATGGATTGTGGATGGATTGTGGACGGATTGTGGATGGATTATGGACAGATTGTGGATGGATTGTGGATGGATTGTGGATGGATTATGGATGGATTGTGGGTGGATTGTGGATGGATTGTGGATGGATTATGGATGGATTGTGGATGGATTGTGGATGGATTATGGACAGATTGTCGATGGATTGTGGATGGATTATGGATGGATTGTGGATGGATTGTGGATGGATTGTGGATGGATTGTGGATGGATTATGGATGGATTGTGGATGGATTGTGGATGGATTGTGGATGGATTGTGGATGGATTATGGACAGATTGTGGATGGATTGTGGATGGATTATGGATGGATTGTGGATGGATTATGGACAGATTGTGGATGGATTATGGATGGATTGTGGATGGATTGTGGATGGATTGTGGATGGATTGTGGATGGATTGTGGATGGATTGTGGATGGATTGTGGATGGATTGTGGACAGATTGTGGATGGATTGTGGACAGATTGTGGATGGATTGTGGATGGATTGTGGATGGATTGTGGATGGATTGTGGATGGATTGTGGGTGGATTGTGGATGGATTGTGGATGGATTATGGACAGATTGTGGATGGATTTTGGATGGATTGTGGATGGATTGTGGATGGATTGTGGATGGATTGTGGATGGATTGTGGATGGATTGTGGATGGATTATGGATGGATTGTGGATGGATTATGGACAGATTGTGGATGGATTATGGATGGATTGTGGATGGATTATGGATGGATTGTGGATGGATTGTGGATGGATTGTGGATGGATTGTGGATGGATTATGAACAGATTGTGGATGGATTATGGATGGATTGTGGATGGATTATGGATGGATTGTGGATGGGTTGTGGATGGATTATGGACAGATTGTGGATGGATTATGGATGGATTGTGGATGGATTATGGATGGATTGTGGATGGATTGTGGATGGATTGTGGATGGATTATGGATGGATTTGTGGTGGATTATGGATGGATTGTGGATGGATTATGGACAGATTGTGGATGGATTATGGATGGATTGTG